ATATATGCAATCTCTCTCTCCAGTCTGGATGTTTCCCAAATAAGATGAAAATAGCTAAAGTCATACCAGTATTTAAAAATGGAAATAAACACTGTTTCACAAATTACAGACCTATCTCTCTATTACCACAGTTCTCAAAAGTTTTGGAAAGAATTTTCATCTCTCGGTTGGAAACATTTGTTGACAAACATGACCTCTTAAACAACAGTCAGTATGGATTCAGAGGAAAAAGAACCACTTCAATGGCCATAACTGAAGCAATAGAAGAAATAACAAATTCTTTGGATCAGAAATTACACACTATAGGAATCTTTATCAACTTAAAAAAAGCCTTTGATACAATAAATCACTCAATGCTGCTGGATAAATTACAAAAATATGGTATCAGGGGTGTCGCTGGAGAATGGCTCTGTGATTATTTAACTGGTAGAGTACAGTTTGTTCACATGGGGGATCATGTCTCTGAAAATCTTGGCATTACTTGTGGTGTCCCCCAGGGGTCAGTGTTGGGTCCCATGCTGTTTAACCTCTATATCAATGACATATTCGAAGTATCGCAGTCACTAAAACTAGTTCTTTTTGCGGATGACACTAGCATTTTTTGTAGTAGTCCTGACTGCAAACAACTTATTGATACTGTGGATGTTGAACTGACCAAAATAAAAACATGGACGGATGCCAACAAACTGTCCCTGAACCTAAATAAAACAAAGGCAATGATTTTCGGTTATGCAAAGAAAAATACAGAGTTTAAAATTAATATTGATGAGTTGAAATTGAAAATGTTGCTGAAAATAAATTCCTAGGTGTAATCATGGATAACAAATTGTCATGGAAAGCCCATATAAGTTATGTGACGACAAAAATAGCTAAAAACATATCAATCATGAATAAAGTGAAACATTATCTTGATTTTCATGCACTACACACACTATATTGTTCATTGGTATTACCCTACCTAACATACTGTGTTGAGGTGTGGGGTAACAACTACCAATGTTCAACAACACCCTTATTCTTATTGCAGAAACGAGCTGTGCGGATCATTCATAAAACAAGCTACTTGCATCACACTCACAAACTTTTTCTTAAATCTAAAATACTAAAATTCCCAGACCTTGTAAAATTTAACACCGCCATCATGTTATTCAAGGCATTTCACAAATTGTTACCTCATAACATACAAACATATTTTGTGCCTAAAGAAAAAAACTATAATCTAAGAGGTCTTGGACATTTTACACTTCCCAAATTTCGATCTACCCGTAAAAGTTTCTGTGTGACTGTGTGTGGTGTCAAACTGTGGAATGCTTTGGATCCTCAATTAATGCAATGCCAAGATATTCACAGATTTAAGACATTATATAAAAACAATGTCTGGTCCGAATACAGAGAGATTATGACTTGAATGTATTTCTCTTCTTTTCCCTCGACTCATGTTGGCATGTACTTGCTCTTGTTAATACATTTTGGAGTATGTTTCCTTACCATTGCTGGTATTTGCTGTTCATTACCATTGTTGGTATTTTTTAAAATTGTTTTTGCATGTAGTTTCTTTTTATTTTTTTATTATTATTTTTTACATTTGTCCCTGATGACATTTTCAATAACTCATTTTGCTTATGAACAATATGTTTAAGATTTTGATATCTGTGCTAAATTTACGTTGGAGCTAAAACCGGAGCCTTTACTTTACTTTACCCTTGTAATGACTGAAGTAATTAGGGGTGGGATTAAATAAGTGTTCACTTCTTCCCACTCCTTTTCGAGCATCCATAAGTGTTATGTTAGTATCACTCTCTCTTTTTGTTATTACCCCTTTGTTATATTTTGTACATGTACCTAAGTTGCTTGAACTAATTATTTCTATGCCCGCTTACTTGCTCGTAATGAATAAATAAATAAAAAAAAAGTCCTTAGTGCGAGGCTCTTTATTCATCTCTTCACGAGGAATCCTAAAGTATCCATTAAAGGTTTCGCGACTCGATCGGTTAGAAAACTTAAAACAACACATGCAAAAGGCATATTCAGACACACTGCTCCAGTGAACAACTAGCTCGGCTGACCACCACTTTGTGATACGCATATGTAATGAGGCGGACGTGACGTCAATTGCAAGCAAGCAATAGGACACAACAGACAGGGCAGTCACGACTATTTCAAAATTGCAAGTCTCAACCAAGACTAAAACCAAGACAAGTCTAAACATAAACCAAATTCAAGCTAAAAGCTCTTGGAATTGATCTTTGAATTTAAACAAAAATTATGCTGTAAATAAAACTAACCCTTCAAAACCAGCTTTGTGGTGGCTTTTTGCATTTGCAGTATAAAAAACCATTGAAGTTTCTCAAGTCACGACAAACTTCAGAATGAAACACCCGCTGTCACTTCTTCAAACAGTTAAGGCCTGCTCTCCACACAGTCTAATAATTGCTACTATTTCAATTCTTTTGAGTGAAATTATCAGCAGCAAAACAGACTAAAACAAACTGAAACTGTGCACAGCTTCACACTGAGCGCTCATTTACATCCTACCGTCATGTTTGTTTCTTAATGTGATTTTTCATCGTTATCAAATATGTACTTTCAATCAGAACCCTCTGTTAAAGAGACACACGTGACAAACACGCACGGCACACATCACAGTCTGGACTACATTCTCCCTCTTCTCATGCTATTTTCAGACAGACACCTCTGTGGAATTTATTTGGCTGCACTTGTTGCTGCACTGCTGTGAAATGGAAATGTAGCAGATGACGAACTCAAATCAGTAATAAAAATCTCGGTACTAAAGCTACTCTCCAACTAACTTAAAAAAATAGATTTAAAATTTGTTATGACAAATTGTATGTTCCTCTGCTATAGAGTCACAATAACAAAGTTAAAAAGCTTAATCTCAAAATTGTTTTTTAAGTAATGCACAGGAAGTAGGCAAAACACTGGTGAATATGTGGGCTGTTGAATTAATGGCTACTTGAATACAAGAAAATAATAATAAAAGATGTTCATGAATCACAGCAAAATGAAAGGACAACAAATGATAGCATTAATCCCTTAAAATGCAAGAAAAGTAACAATAAAAGGTGGATTTTATCTGATTTAAGAGCATTGTACTCTTAGTACTCCTAGTTTTTCTTGAGCGAGACTGTGAGAGCACGACGCCCCATGTAGAAATGTAAAAAGCGTTGCCTTAGATGTATGCATGACAACTGGGTCCTCAAGGGGCTTTTTGTGACGAATAATACAAACATACGAGCGATTGCGAAACGTGAGTGAAAACACATCCAGCACCACCAGGTTCAAATGTACACTTTTACACAGAAGAGCAGAGGAAAAATCAGCAGAGGAAAAATAAAACATAACTTCTGCTGGATTTCAGTCAAAGTCTGCTAAAAAATGTTACTGGACAGATGGGGATATGCCAATTAAAAAATAAAACAGATTTCCCTATTGTGAAACTACTCTTTACAACTGCAGAAGCACAATTTACTGTATATAAAACAAAAAGCTAAAGCTAATAGATAATGGTGGATAACGAACACCACCTTTGCTTGTAGGACAGCAAAGGATTTTCGTAATAAAAATAACTGACAATAACTGAAAAGTGCTATCATGCTAATGACATGAAAGTGAAAGAAATTACAACTTGGATTTTCCAAATAGCCTAAACTTGTTTGGAAATAACGCCTTCCAATGACAAGGTCCCCCGTGTCGCATGAGTAAGAATGGGAAATATTTAAGAGAATACAGTATTTTTACAAAACATGAGTTATGACCATCCAGAGCCCCACCCAATCATCGAGAGGTGTTTCAGACAGAGATAAATGCGGACTGTTGCCCTCGCATTCAATTTAAAAAAACAAACTATTATTTGGGATGTGAAAGAATGTCTCTGAATGTTCTTGGGAAGCTAAAAGCTGCTGGTGACGGACAGTGTGTGGCCAAATCCAACACACTGTTACGGCAAAGCAATCCCAATTTCAATTTCCACTTTTGCAAGATTTCTTTCCTCATCTGTCAAAGTGTCTGACTGGTGGGACGGCTGTCAGAAAACGGTTGTGACACATGTTTAAATCGCTCCACAGAAGAAAGCACTCTCTGACATAGCGGCTGCGTCACTGATTCACTGAGCAGCGCGGCGCTTGTGATGAATGAGGAACTCACAGGAAGTCTCATAAAGTTTCCCACTAATAGAAAAGTTTCTTTTATTTCCTTACAAGGAACACTTGAACAGAACTTTAATATTTTGTCGCATAAACAATGAGCATGAGGGTCACATAGTTTAGGTGAATATGAAGAAGGTTTAATAGCAATGCATCGGTTTTATATAGCCCCCTTTTGGACACTGAATAATGCGTCACATGTCTTTATTCGTTCACTCCATACAGGGGTGATACACTACTACTGTAGCCGCAGCTGCCCTGGGGGAGACTGACAGAAAAGAGGCAACCAGTATGTGCCATCAGTCCCTCTGACCACCACCAACCATTCCCACACCCACCAGGCTCATTCTAGGCAATGTAGGCAAATTTTTTTGCCTAAGGACACAACAACAGTTTGGCACAGCCGCCCCACGGTAAATACTAATACTACACAAGTACTAACACTACAAATACTGTCAATAAAATGAGTCTCACATGCGTCCTTCATTTGGGTCGCCAGATTCAAAGTTCAAATCCAGTTGGTTTCCCTTTAAAATTACCAGAATTGCTCCATAAGCTCTTGAATCAAGGACACTTTCTGTACAGGTGCCTGGCTTCCAAAAAATGTTTCCCTAACAAAAGATCTTTCTCACCCCTTTTTCTTTTATGTATTTCTGGTATTGACTTTAGTAGTCCTCTATTTCTCCACTTTCTGCTTACTTCACAGCACATTTCAGAAAACGATGAAGCCTGAAGCGGTAAAATAGTTTTATAACTGAATTGGCAGATTCGTCTCATCCAAACACATTTAATTGATTTTCTGACTCACTGCAAAACAAAATCAAGTCCATTACTTACGATAAACTGTTCAATGTCCCGTTCCATTCCTACGTTGGGCAAGTCTGGCATCATGTGTGCCACAACTTTGAATCCAGCGTCTTTTGCCAAATGGAAGGACTCGCACACCGCCTTCACAGTGTGACCTCTGAGGAGAAACACAAGTGACGTCAGCCAACTTTTCAATAAAGACTCTGCTACTTGTCCTTGGTTAATCTTGGGGGCAGTTAAAACAAGTCGCTCGGCAAGACAATGGGAATACGTTTGTTTGATTGTGCTGTAATGTGGGCTCCATAAATCAGGTCAACCATGAGTGACTTGCTTCTTGTGGAACATTACAAGAAACACATTTTATTATGCAAAGTTTTCTCCATTATGCATGTTTGAGGTATATTTTACAGGAATTTGACTTTTGAGTGGAACATTTTCACCTTGGCCTAAATTCCACTTACAGCTCTTACAGAATCTGGGTCATTCAAAATAACAAAAATATAAACATGCAAATTAAACCCAGCTATTCAATGAAATGCCACCATTAAAAGGTAGAGCAGTTCTGCACTTTTGAACAGTAAGTCAATGAATGCATTTGTTACTTTTAATTAACTATTCAGTTCATTATTAACAAGCATAATGTTCTCAGTCCATTTTCGCTTACTACAGTCTGACTCACTGACCTGTTTGTATCCCGGGCCACGTCCTCATACACACTTTGCACCCCGATCTCCAGCCGCGTGCAGCCGTAGTTCAGCATGTCACTCAAGTGTCGCTTCAGGCAGTAGTCAGGGCGCGTCTCTATGGTGATCCCTACACATTTTGTATTACTCCGCTCTGAATATCTGAAAAAAATATTAAACCAGTAATGAATCACACTCGACCGTAAACATGAGCAGGCAGGTAGGTTACTTAAATGCAAAATATCACTGGTCAACCAGCCTCAGATGAATGAAGCCAAAAATCAGATTAATTTAAAAAGATCACCACTGGTTGAAAAACAGTGGTATAGAGGGTTACCACATATTTTCTACTTGTACAATATTATAATTATACTTATAAACTAAAACATAAAATGGCATCTTAAATAATATTTAAAATTTTCTTTACACAATTTAGTAATAACATTAACTCCAATAAGTAACATTATGCTGAGGAATTTGCAGTAATTAAAATGTTACTCAGGTAAAAGTATAATGCTTTAAAGTAAGTGTATTATACTATCCACTTTTAATGGATTTTAAAAAAAAACTTATAAAAAACATTCTTTATTTGGCTTGAAGGCCCGACACAAGCGAGACAGATCATTTAACAGTATCCATTTGGAGGCTGTGAGTTTGAACACCTCATTATGCAAACGCTAACCTCACATTAGGAATACACTAATGCAATGTAAGACAGAAAAACAATTCTGCTCATGTAAATGGGAAATTAATGGATGTCTGAATTGACAGAGAGGGTGATTTGGAATATGTGATATTAGGCCTGTCACATGAACCAATTTTATGGACGATGTATTGAATCAGAATATTTTTGCAATAAACGATAATATCGAAGCTCACACTGCCACTACGTAATGCAGGATAATTCTAAAAACTATTGTGTGTTTAGTTGTGTTAAGTAATATCTACAAGTAGTGTGTCGGCGCATGTGTGACAAAAGCGGATCATGTGACCGGAGTGCCAAGGTGTCGGTCTGTGCTGCTGCAGCTTGGCTTTGGTTCAGTGTATCGAAGCTTTCCTCTCAGCCACAATGCTTCACAAGGTTCCATGACCCCATCGCTAAAATGTCATATTGAATCACTTACAGCAAAAATCACTTCACTTTTTGCAAAATATACAAACAATGAATATTGATTTATATATTGATTTATTTATTATTATTTATTTTTTGATTTATTATACTATAGAACGGTAGTAATTATTGTGGCAGGCTTATCAAAAAGCAATCAAATCTCCATGGAAGCAAGCAGAAGTAAATAGTTTTTTTATGCATGAATATACTTATTTATGCATGAACATAAAAGAAACCCATGAAAGAACCCATTTAGTACAGTTTGATCTTAGTTGGGCAGTGGAATTAACGCATTATGCATTATGTCGCTCTGAACCAGTTATTGTTTTGTACTTTACAATTGTTATTTTAGAAGTTGCTGCTGTACAGTGTACATAATTTAACACTGATCCAGACCAGAGCAAAGAGGATTCACAGTCTGAGTCAAGCAGATCCAGTGGAAATTCACTGGAGAAATGCAAATTTTTTGAAAAATGGTAACAAAGCATTCAGCATTATACTCTGGATCAGAGCACAGAAAATGGTCCACACCAAGCAGCTACACCACCTTTTTGAATTATCTATTTATTTGTTTTGGTTGTATGGATGCATGCGTTTCTGCTGCTACTGGACACCTGAATATCTCATACAGGGATCAATAAACTATGTACCGTAGTCTCATGATGGAGCTAGTATAAGAGAGAGATACAGAGATTAATAGCTATGAGTGCTTCATGAAATCAAGTGGCAGAACAGCTGCTCCTTCAAAAGCATCTGTGATTGAAATCCTAAAATCCTATCAAGAGGGTACACCAAATACACTGCCGTCTTGACCATTAGCCTCCCTGTATTCCCTCTGCCAATGCTGCTTGCAATAAATGTCCGTCTTTTTACAGTCTACTGCTTGATTTATACCAATTACACTGTTTTATGCTCCACAGAGGATGCTCAGATTGTATGAAATGAATCAATAAAAAGTCTATTATCTGGGAGCGATTATCCGGGCGCGTCTTGCTGGGGTGATCAGATTGCTTGCAGGATTGAGTAGACACAAGAATCATAGTGTTGACTCCGGCTGTCCATAAGGTTGCATTTCTATCCAGCATTAGAAGCAATTTTAAACCCAGGAGTCACGACACAGATGTTCAATAAATTATGACTGTAAATGAGTTTTTGTAATAATTCAATGAAGGCTACAACTTTACAATTTGTTTGTTTGTTAGAAGGGGCAGTATGTAAGATTACAAGATCATGAGCAAATTACATTTGGCCTTTTCTGATTAAAATGTTTTTTTTAAAATTGGTTTTATTGAACTTTAATTTAGCCAGGAAGTCCCTTGTGATCTTTATATCTCAATTACAAAATAAATCAGCATATGAGGCATATGTATTGTATATTGTAGATTTCAAGCCGAGTGTGTAATCCGGGCTTTAATAAGAGGGCTCCAACAGTTTCCAAAGGCCGACAAATAGATACAGATACATTAGCATCATACAATGAAAAATAAATGGCAATTTAATCAAAGACTTCACATTGAGGTTTAACATACCTATTGGCAGAGCTGAAGTTGGCTGGATGATACTGCGATACTGTGTTTATGATCTCAAAGACTACTTTGGGCTAGTAAGTCAGAGCGTGACATAAAATGACATGGAGGGTTTCATTTAGTTTGGACATGCCTGGTCTAATCAGAGAGCAGAATTAGCGTGTGAATATTTAGTCTTTTAGTTAATACATTTTTCAATGTGGTCAGAGTCCACCAAATGTTGTATTAAACCAAATCAAGTTAACTGCGAAAGCTGGGAAAAATCTGCAAAAATGGGTAGATATACAGCAAAACAATGATGAGAAGATGTTTTTGTTTACTTTTAAGGCAGATATTCAAGCCAAATCAAACCCTTAATTGCAAGTTTAATTCTTTATGAATTGCAAAATATTTCAGTGCCTTGGTAGTTGCATGAGTACAGTTTTAGTTCTGATACATGTTATGTCATGTCATTTTCTTCCACTTTATTATTCCATTTCTGGGTTGGGGGGAGGCAATCAGAGCTGCCACCCAAGTCTCAAAGCACCAGTTCCTCGCTGATGCTCCTGCTGGTGGTGGGTCCACAGGATGATAGCTCTCTGTCATCAAAACCATCAAAGACCGTCTTGGTCTTTCAGCGGAGGGTTCAGGCAAAACGACAGCAGACATCAGTGGGAGGAGATGACATGGGCCGTGGGGGGGTTCAAACCCACAACTATTAGGTTCAATGAGGCTCTACCAACTGAGCCACTGTCGCCCACGTTTGTGTTATCCATTTGGAAATTGCAATGCATACAAATCAACCACCAGCCATACTGTGCATTTCTGTGTCGACAGAAGTTGAGAGATGGTACGAAAGTTTGAGAAATAAATTGAGTCTAAAAAAAAGTTGTATTCTTATCAGACTTCCTTGGAAAAACAAACAACTTCAGCTCCACATTGAAGGCCATTGTTTGGTTCAATCACCTATTGGACGCTGTCAACAACTACTTGACTTTGATTCCCTCAACAAAAAGTTGCTGTGATAGTAGAAATCATGTCCAAGCAGCCTGAGTGGACGTGAAAGAAATCAACGGCAGTAATTGAGGCAGATCTTTTGGAAAAACCTCTGCCTATTTTTCTCCAAGATTCTTAATGGCCCAATTTCAACGTTTTTTGTGTGAAATATGGCGACTCCAACTTGCTCTCTTTTGAAAGCTGAGCAGGGCACAATGCAATGAATATAGTAGTCGCACAAGGTGAAGTATTAAATTGTATTATCATGCATTATATTATTTACAAATAATATAATGACCTCACAAAGAACCAGTGTTTTTAATTTATTCAACACAAGTATAAACATTACCTGTAAGTAATGTAATAATGCAATAATCATATTGACAAAGTTAAACCAACAATAATAACAACATTCAGTGATAGTACATGGCTCTGAAGTATGTTTTGTTTGTGTCCCTTATTGTGTTGTCTGTTGATTATTGTCTACTATATATGTCTATTATTATCATTGATATCATTGGTTATTGTTATAGTATGGTATTTAAATTATATTCTAGTAGATACAAAATTATTTAGCTGATTGATATTGAATCATAATTTCACTATATAATAATATAAAAGTGAGGAATTATTTGACTATAGCACAAATATACATGCATATACATACATATAAACAGATAGATAAGTAGATAGATACTTTATTGTTCCACCGTAGGAGAAATTTAAGATAAATGACATATGTAGAAAGAAATTTGTATATAAAACTACTGCTGGTTTTGCTTTTGTTATATTTCCCTGTAAATGGTGACAACCATATATTTAAGGACTTATTGGGGGTGGGAGTAAATAAGCTCGTCTTCATCCCACTCCCTTACAAGCTGTTTATTTTTTTCTCTCTCTAATGTTGTGTTAATATTGTATAGCATCGTCATGTATTTCTTTCTATCTTGTCTTGTATTGTACCGGCGCGGAATAAACTAAACTAAAACTAAACAAATGAGGACAACTGCTGCTTTGTCCTGCTTAATTGCAAAATTAGTCCCATTTTGGCAAGGGTCTAAAAATGATGCAACAAACATAATTCTGAATGTAACTTTTTCTTGCTTGGTAACAGTGAAACTCCCAATTTCAATATACACTGGATTTATGCCATTTCAAAACTAAAGCACATTAAGATTGGTGCAAGAGCCCCCTCTGGAGGGCAAATCGTAAAGACAATCAGAATGCATTTCAGAATAAATAGATGGATAAATACGGTACACAAATGCTATTCTATCAAATATAATCTATTGTTAATTAGGAAAAACAGTTTTTTAAATTCTTAGTACGTGCGTTATATATTATCCAGGCTAATTCAATTAATTTGTAATGTAAAGTGTGAATGCAATTGAGGGTTTGATCTGGCTTGTAAAGTGATGTAATGTTCTTTCAGTGATTGTAACAATACCAAAATATATTCTCCCTGTAAATGAAGACACTTTGCTGACCTGACGGCCTCTGCCACATTGTTAGAGGTGTGTCCAGAGAGAGCGTCGTGGAGGTTCCTGATGAAGTAATCCCGGTATTCTTCGGCAAGCGCCATGAACGTCCCACCCATAACGATGAACTCCACCTTGTCCACAGTGTGTCCCAATTGCTTCAACTGGAAATCAAAACAAATTTGATTATGAATATGCATTGGTTAATAAGAAAGTGAACACCCCAAAATGCTAGAAGACTTTTGATGGAGTTTCATGCAGATTTTAATATAATTTTTTTTCCTAACTGGCAAGTAAGTAAGAGAATAAGCAAGTCATTTTATCTTATGCACTTCCGTTCACAGACAGAGTCATGAGGCGCTTTACAATTATCTGAGCTATGAAATAGCTCCAGACAAAACTACTGGGAAAGCTTTATGTAGCCATTTATAAAATATATCTAATAACTAAAAAGATTTGACCAAATAATAAAATAAAAAGGAAAACAAATAGATAAAAGGATGAGATGTAAAACATCGCAGAAGAATCTTCATCATTACAAAATGTGGGCCCCAGTGTTAATGAATCTGTTTGCTCGGCTGCTTCAGGCTAATGTGGGCATACATTTAAATGGTGGTCTAATTGGGGTCAGCCCTGGTCAGCCATTACTGTTGAGTGCTAAATATATGGTTCATCATTTCTTGATTTAGTCTCTCAGAGCTTACGATTGAAATAGATAGTCATTGGAAAAGTTTACAGCAATGTTGTGAAAATGTGTAGCTGAATAAAAGAAATGTATAATTTTCTTTAAATACCTTAACAGGAAAGTTAGTTATACCTGTTCTACTCGATGCCTGGTCTGGAGGAAGGGGTCATACCGGGCTCTGATGGCTCTCATGGACGTCGGCTTGAATGATAAAACACAGGATCACTTGATTATTATTTCAAACTTGACATTCAATTATACAAATCATTATCTCAATACCTCGTAGCCAGTGTAGGACTGTGTAGAGTATTCAAAGTCAGAGTCTGGACCCCCAGGACAGTAACTGCAGAAGACAGCAGTAGATTCAGATCTGAGTTGAGTTGAGTGTTTATATCTGCAGTATCTCATTTGGGTAATTGGGTTTGACGAGATGATTTCAAAAGTATAATTTACAGGTGCTACATTGTATTTTTATTACAATTATTTTTACGTGATATCAGAACAAATAGCATATTGTAATACAATAAACAACTGAAATTGATTTAGGATATTTTGACAAATATTTTTCATATATTCAAATGAATACATCAGTGGGGGTTGCATGTCAAGTTTCATACCAATTCTGAAAAGTTTGGGTATTCCTGTACCCCCTGAACACCTGTTGGGAATCCCTGTTCTATAACAACAAAATAAACTTTGCAGTTTTTAAATTCTGTAGCAAAATTAATAAAAACACTTACACACAGATGTTTCCGGTGAAGTTGATGTGAGGACATCTGTGTGGTTTACACATCACAGCAACGACTGCAATCTGCATTGGACAAATTGGATTTTTGAATTAGTCTCTTCAATTGATAATAATAACAAGTTTACAGAGTGCCACACAGCAAGCTTGAAAATCCTATCAATTAAAATATAATGGAAAAGAATAATTTGGCTGCAATCAGTGTTAAAATATGTTTTAAACTGAAGTTTTATTGTTCAATTGCCTTTATTTAAAGAAATGTTTCTCCAAGAATCAATTCTAAAAACAAAACAAAAGCATCAAGCGGCTATAATTGATTGTGGCTACATCTTTAGGTGGTCTGTTGTTAGTGGATAATCTTAAAGATCACATGTGCCGCATTTCTCACTTCTATGAGCTCATTACACGAGTTGTTAAGTGCTTCAGCAATCTTCCATCATGGTACATTTTAATGTGTAAATGTATGGAATTGATAACAGAACATGTGCTATACCGACAACCTTTATTCTGGAAAGCCCCTGTTTAACTGTTAAAAACATATAAATCATGCAAATAACGGGTTCATTCAAATTTACCTAAAACAGTGCCATATCTCTAAACACATTTATTTTTTTATGCTGTGCATACCCCACTAGCAGTGCGGATGGGTTTAGCCTTCAGTTTGGGCACCAGAGCTCGTCGGTACTGAGGCGGAACAGCAGCTATTATGTCCACCAGACGAGGCTGATTATCCAGACCATACTTGGCCGATATCTTTGTCTTCACTCTAAAAAAAAAAAAAAAACAAGGAGAGTACAAGTAGTTCTAAAAGAGCTTCATAGGGATAAGAAAGGAGATGAGTCAGTCTGATATATGCTGATGGATCGGAATCGTTTATGGCTTCCTGAAATGTTCGCATTCTAGAAAGTGAACGTAGCCATCCATGAACTGGATCATGTGGTTAATAGCAGTTCTAACGACATGAGGAAATGACCCACTTGTTGAGGTTGATGTCTCTCCCCTCCTCGTGAGCCTCCACCAGCTGCTTGATGACGTCCGCGATGGTCATCATCATCAGCTCGGCTCGGCTCGCGTCATCTGGAAGCACATCACAACGTAATGAGAAAAGATGTCCCAGGAAGTGCTGCTTTTGACTGATCTTAAAAGTTAACTACTAAAACTTGCAATGTTGCTATGAAATTATCATTAAAAAAAAAAATATGTCGTACAATTGAAAATATTCACTGGACTTGATCAAATAAAATGTTAACTATATTATTCAAAGAAGATTTGCTCAGGAATGATGGATGCTGAGGTGTTAGTATTAGATAGCAATATGGCCTACGTGCAGGACTGTACAAGGACTCTACAAGGACTCCATGTTATGACTATGATGTCTGTCTCTTTGTGACACGTATGTCTTTCGATGTGTGACGTGACAATGACTATATAAACTGTGTACTGCCTTTATTCTGTCTGGGAGAAAGAAACAGAGTAAACCAGTGGAACTTGAGAGAAACTTAAATAAACTTCCAGAGTTTGGCACACCACGATCCGTCTCTGTCTGCTGAATCCTGACAGAGGAATAAATGATTGAACCAGGATTTGAGCCTCAACCCTCTATGAAAATGAGGATGCTTGATTTACTCTATAAGTGGCAACAATCTTTGCTCGAAGGAGCTTTTTTCCTCATTTTGATCAATCTTGAATCAAATCAACTTTCTCATTTAAATTTGATATAGAATACTTGCACACAGGCAGGAGCAACCATTTTACTTACTTCAATAAATGTAACTGGATGAGCTATTTATCTAAAAGAGACCTTCTCTGCAGCCCCGACAATTGATGTCTTCTGATTATTAAGCACATGTTAATATTTGAGAGTGAGAAAAGATAGCTATAGTAAATGAATTAGCAATCAATAAAATAATATGTAATTTCATACAATAAAATATATTATACTGCAATAAATATATAACTAAACATTACTCTTCTCCCACTACTGTTCAAGTCTCATATGTCATCTTTTTTCTATCTATACATGTATTTTATAGAACACTTTATTTATTTATTTTACATAAAACTATGAATATCCTACTGTTGCCAGCCCTTGTTGCCTGTTGAAACATCACAAGTGCATATCAGAGGATTCATTCACGCTATTCTTTCTTAAACATGTTCACTGTTGTGATCTTTAATTTCTTGTTATTGTTTTGAATAACTAGCTTAATTACCATTTGTTATCTGACAATCACAATGTTCTGATAGTAGTACATTGTATGTCAGAAAGACAGTACATATATTATACACAGATGTTCAGTTAGAAAATGTGGAGAAAATAATTATTTTGCGTTGATTGGAAAGATCCTAGTTCCAGAGTTAGCTTTAGCAGAAGCCTAGCTTACCGAGCAAAGAATGATTAAAAGACGTAATGCATTTTGTCATAGACTTACTTTTCCTCTTTGGCTTCCCCATTTTTATGTTGAAGATCAAATTAATCTCAGAAATGATAAAGTTAAGTCAGAGCTAAAATGAGTTTAAAAAGCTCTCTGAAAAAGTAAACAACCCCACGTTGTAGCAGCATTTAAACACGGCTTTGCCGTAACCCCGATAGAAATGTCGTAAAATGACGTGCATATTAGAGGTTCTGGACATGGATCTATTATAGTGTTTATGAATGAAAGCAATAGAATAACAGAATCTATTGGATACACATATAATGCATTATATATTATAGACAGGCATTTCCTTAAATATTTCCCTCTGATAAATCACGCATCTGTGATAGATTTGTTGTACACATATTTTCTTGTGAACAACATCTCCCAAAGACATGTATTAGAATTTTGTCAAATGTTGATTGTGACGGGAAACTCAAGTCCATTTGTCTGAATGTTGTATCATTTTGACTTTATGGCGATGACTTGTCCGCTTCGGGGCGCCACTCTCTCTGGCTCTATCCCAGGCTCTCTGCGTTCAGAAGTTGAAAGCACTTGGTAAATCTCGTGCAAATCCCTTTAGCCGCGTCTTGATATGGCTCCTTGTTGCTTTCAGGAAATGCTGCAGGTGGAGTAGCTGTCGTGTGAATGAACCGTGGACTGTGTAATGGTGAGAACATGTGGACATTTCTTATACACTATCTTGCAATCAACACAACATCCACCAGGTTACATACTTGACTTTTTGAAATGTTATTCTTTTGGTTTTGTTCACAGCGTTTGTTAGCTTAAGCTAGCACCTGTCTACTGCTGGGAAAGTATTTCTTTGGCACGGTTAGTTCACGGCATTTTTATAACAACTTTTGATATAGGTTTTAATCAAGTTTACCCTCACTGCTTGAAGAAATAGCTTTAAATTCGTTGCACGAGTTGTGACTTCGCTTACTTATTTATAGCCGCATTGTCACGCACTGACGTCGTAGGGGTAGATAAAGTGTCAATGAAGAAGTTCAGAGTGGGTTTAATGTGTTTCATATTGTTTTTGATTGAGGTCAGCTGGAAACATGGATGACAGCCTGTGTGACTCCAATGTGAAGGTGGCGGTCCGTGTGCGACCAATGAACAGGAGAGGTGAGTGTGATCAAATGACAGGGCTATAGTCGATTATTACCATAACAATGTGGAATTTACAACATAGCAATTTTTCTATCTACTTTAGAAATGAACCATTTAGATCATTTTCATCATTGTACCTACAATAATAAACACAGTCCTTGATTCTTCATGTAAAGGCACTAAGTAAAATATAGAGGTTGAGCCTCTGTCATTGACTTGTTCCATTTTTTGTTTTCACAAGTTGACATGCTTCTTTTTATTTTTTGTATTTGTTACCTAGTTGTAATGTAATCATGATTACATTGCGATTTATTAAATAAAGCCTGACATGTGGTATTGGAAGGTCTTGTTTTAGTCAATTTTACTAATCATATTTTATGTATATATATATTTTTTTTAATTATTTTTTAATCTTTGCCTATTTTTTGTCTACATTGTTCATGTAACTGTTAATTGCTAAAGTAGCCAGAAAAAGAGAGTTTTCCCAATTGGGGAATAATTGTATTGAGTAAAAGCAGTAGAAGTGAAAGTTCACAAGATGTAGTAATGAAACTTCAAAGCATGCGTACTATAATGAATAACTGGACATGTGCAGTGTATTATTATTTAGCTTTTCACAAGGAATGACCGCTAAATACTATGTAATAGTTTTTACTGACAATTTAGCAACTTTATAAAGACAACCCTGACTTCACGTGCCCCTCTTTAGTTCAGGAAGACAAGAGAGGTATAAAGAATGTGTTTTGTAGCAATGTGAAGGATATAATGTTTGCACAAGCTGGAGCTGCTGAATCATCAGTGATAACACACCTTCCTGACTCTACATGTCCGGCTGTTTTTTTATTTTATTTTTTTAATTATGTGATAAAATGAGTGCATGGAAAGTGAGTGTGGCTGGGGCTCTTGTATATGCATGCCAAAACGGATTACTAGAAAACTTTAAAAAAATATTTTTAGGCGTACAATTTTGACCCGTTTTCACATTTTCTTTACTTCCTGGTATAAAACATATTCTTAGAAATATACGTAAACAACTAATGGATTGTTTTGCCATGAACAAAAAAATAAAAAATGCTTTTTTTGCACAGAAAAAGATTTGAACACAAAATGTGTGGTGGAGATGGAAGGAAATCAGACCATTTTACATCCAGCCATTACCAATGCAAACAAAGGTGATCCACGGTGAGTGCAATTTGATCCAATGTCCTACCTCCACAACATTTTTATTATCTGTATTCTCTTCAGCTTTCCTGTAATGCAAAATTTAAGTGTCTGTGGGTGTGTGCATGCCAGTTTACTAAGTAGTGCCTGAGGGTCAGGACACTAAGCTGGGCAAAATCACTAGTTGATTTCACACATTTTGGGGGTATTTGACTGAAAGGTTTGCATATTAACTATTAATATAGGTCGCATAGTGATGTTTCAAATTAGACCGAGATGAATTATTATACTGTATTAATCATAATGAGTGTGAGCTACTGTCATAAATTAACAATTATGCAGCTCGAGTGTTGCAGTCATTGGCACAACCAAATAAATTGTGAGCAATTATGACATTCTTGATTCCCAGATGTGAATCCCAGACTAGTGTTAACTAATGTGACCCAGATGTTCATATGCATTTCACAAACGTTGGTGCCAGAAGACATTCATTGTAGCAAATACCCTACACATACACATCCCAAGTCTTTGCAGAGTTTGTACAGAACCAGTCTTTCAGCACCAACCACGCCCTCCTTCTCCACTCTGCACCATTCCTCTTTACAAAGGGAGTGTCTGTTCGTCATAAGACCTGCTCAGGTATTTAAGGAAGGAAGGAATCACTACTTTTGAGACTAGAGACCGAGGGGGGTGTGAGGTCCTCTAATCATGAAATAACTCTGTCATCAAAATGTATTACGTACATTTTTCCGTCACTGGTGGTGGTAATTGGTAAACAATTTCCATAGTCAAATCTTAATGCAACAGTTTCTATAGTGACACAATTCTTTTGAAATACAGTAGTTGGTTAGCCAAAGGAACAACATTTCTTGGAAACAAGCCATGCGTTCTACTCCAGTCAGCTTATGTCCGACCTTCAACAATTTCTAATATATATATAATACGGTTTAAATGAAAAAAAAACATGTTATTATTGGTATAAAGTGTTATGTTTTTGTTTTGATGGATGTTAATTAAGTGCCCCGTCTAATGATTTTATAAATGTTGTGATATGGACTATCACTTGCAATTGTCCATAACCCAATATCAATGCTACAAAATCTATCACAGCCAGTCTCTTATGGTAGTTGGATGCATCTTACATCCTTGTGAGTAAGATGCTGCCTGTAAGCCTTCTCCTCTTCTCAGGTTTCTGCATCAGATAAATGCCCCCGTGGGCCAAACCCTGTTCAACACAGGAGTGAATGAAACATTGTCTTTGTATTATGAATTTGATAGTTCTTTGTTCTCCACACTTCTCCCTCTGCCTCAACACACTTCACTGTGGTATGCTTCCCCTTTGACCGCGATGAGAACAGGTTCTTTTGATTCTATTGCCTGGTTAGAAATGATAGGAAGTTAGTTCATTAGTAAAACAGGTGGTGGAGCGGAGGTTCTCAAACTGTGGTGCAGGTGCCATCGATGACTTATTTAAATAGTGTTGCAGTAAAGTAATTGATTAAGGCCGTATAGGTCTCCTTTTTTTTCTAGATTTTTGTCTGATGCTTTGAGCAGATATTTGTTCCTCTTTTCTCACAGTAGTTTTGTATTGAGGCATGTTTCTTTATTTGATAAGGCTTTAGTCTGTTCAAAGCCTGATAAATATTAGCCCTAGTGACTCCTGATCTGTCCAGTTATCTCAGGAATGTCCTCTGAGTCTGCAGCGCAGGAGTTAAAAGTTGTTCTTTCATGGATAGCCAGTGCTCACACAGGGAGTCCTTGTTTTATTACAGCCCCTGTGAGTGGCTAAATTTACTTTTTCTTTTTTCATTCCCGAAATTACTATTTCTGCCCGAGCGGAGACTGTGTGTTTTCACATACTTAGGGGCAGTGAGTGTGAATGAGGCTCCCCAAAGTGTAATTAAAAAGCCTGGGAGTGCAAACACTTTTGGCAAAAAGCTGGAGTTATTTGGGATTTTCATAAGAATAATGAATCTATAGTTGGCTTGTGCTTTAAGTATTCAAGTTGTGGACTATTGTTCTTATTGGTATTGTTCTACTTTTGTGCTGGCACAATATAGAAATCTCTATACAAGAAACATATGGCCGTTAAAGTTTTATGCAGTAGTTACTTTCCTGGCTCCTCCACTCTTTCACAAAGAAATAAATGTACAGAAGTCTATAAGACTACAGATAAATTGTATGTAGAAAATATATTTGATATATTTTCTCTAAAATCACTGACTAGCTTTAAGTGCTGGTTTACTTGTAGCAAGATTAATTTAAAAATTAGTACACATTTGTTCAAGTTGGTTTCCTCAACAAAAAAGAACATCAACAACTCAAATCGTTTATACAGCAATATGCTAAATTGTGTTATGGTTCATTCGGGATGTTCATATGTTGGGAAGGGTACAAAACATTGTTTTAGATTCCTGGTTTGTATTGCATTGCCTAAGTGAATTATGCGAAGTTTCCTTGATGTTGCTGGGAGCCACTGAAGGTCACATTCTCTCCCTGAGCCAAAGAAAGAGCATTAAGAACCTCCTAATGTGAGTGTCGTAATCATTCTAGTCAAAAGATATGAGAAAACGTGTCACATCAGTTATAATAGATCTAGATCAATTACATTTCAGAATATTATCCTGTTTTAATAAAAAGAATATTAAAATTAAAATGTAAATAATTGTATGTGTTCTGACTTAGAGCAAAGACAGAAGTGGATTAACAAATTATTTGTTATTAACCATAATCTTAACCCTAATGCCACTTTCATGTGCTTGTCGGGTGGATTGGGTCGGCGTTTTCTTTTAGCGAGTCCCATAATCAGGCTAGTCTGTTCCTGCTAGATATCCAAATAAAACAGTTAGAGCCTCCATTAGCACTTCTACTTAAGCAGTACTAGCTTCTTTACACACGTTGTCTAAAAGAAACTTATAAGCCTTAAGCATAGAACTTTGTACATTTATGGTTCTGACTATTGTTGAGTCGTTACTATCTTGATGTAAGTTAAATAATGTCTTCCTTTTTATTCCAGCAACCAGCCTAAAGTAAGTATTTTCATTACTTTTGCACAAGTAAAATTTGATCAAGTCTCATTTATATATACTTCATTCTATTATATTATTATTGCAGGTTTTTGCTTATGACCACTGCTTCTGGTCTATAGATGATGCGCAGAAAGACAAGTTTGCAGGTGGATATCTTTTTCTATTTTTGTTTTTTGTTTTTAAGAGCTGTGAATCATTCCTCATTCTTATCTCCTCCCTGGACGTTTCCTGATATTGGGATCTATTTGTGGAAACTTTCATGGTGGGAAAGAGAACTGAACATTAGACTGCAAATGTAAAGATCTAGCAATACTGTATATGGTTAAAAAACATATACAGGACTATGAATCAGCAATCAAATGATTTAAATGACACCATTACATACATTCATGACAAATGTATACATATTGTTTATGTTCTGAAGATAAGATTAGATATCTCACAATGGAGAAATGCACACATCACATTTGGCATAGATGGGAGCCCTGGTTGTGCAAAAAGATATTTTGAAGATCCACGAGAATAGCCTCTGTCCACGATTGTACTATTCCCTTCCGTTGCTCTGCGTTTGGTCTCTCCGCCTTCTTTGTGAAGGCCTCTACGCAGCGGAATGCTCCTCCTAACTTTATTAAGTCGTCTGTTACTCTGGAAGGCTTTAAGACGGAACTGAAAAAACACTTGAAGAGTGAGCGATGGTGTGATCACTCTCCATAGGTTCAAGAGTACTGACGCCACCTGTGTGTGTGCACGTGTGTAACTGTGTGCAAATAATACATTTAAAGATGAAAAATTAGAAGAGAAAATAAGATAAGATTTAAAATGTATTTTCTTATTTGGGTCATCATTTCATATATGCTACTTTACGTCTTTATGGAGACTTCCAAAAATGTATATATAGTATATTCAGCTTAGTTAATTTGCAGGGGTCGTGTCTGTATGAAGCAATTAACTGGTTCCTGGGATCCAATTTATCAATACATATCATTTCCTGTTGATGTAACTAAAAGCATAGCTGCAGGAAGCATACTTCTTTAGTAAAAGACCCATTAAAGTTTCCGTGCTTTATCCAGGCCAAGATGTGGTTTTTGAGTGCCTTGGTGAGAGTCTTCTCAACAATGCTTTCATGGGATACAACGCATGCATCTTCGCCTATGGACAAACAGGTAATGCTCCAAGGAAACAGAGAGGTATGATGGGTTTAGATAGAAATTACTAAAAGACTAATGGACTAGTTATTTATTTCTTTATATCCTATATCCTTTTCCTTTGTCTCATTTATGTTATTGTGCTAAAGAAGGGATATAACATGAACAGATATGTCCATATATGACATCCACTACTAAATACAATTATTTATCTCTTAACTATTTCACAGCAACGTAGGGTGCTTTTTTGAGAGCCTGTGCTAAAATTTACTTTGGTCAGCTTTTAAGACTTCATCCAGTCTGAAATGACATTTAAACAAATAAAGTACTACTACTACTACTACTACATTTCATATTTCTAAATTGTGCAATATACTTTACCTATTTTTTATGCAGTGTTTTAAACCAGTCATGTGTTTGTATTCAGTGGATCATTTAATTGCACTGTAATTCCAAAATCCATCCAGTTGATATGATCTGCTCCCGTTGTGCACAGCTCTCACTGTGACACTTTGATTTAGTGAATGAGAAAGATCACACCTCTGTTAATTAGAGCAGCGTGATGAACTGGTATGTGCCACAGCCTGATGCAGTGACCTTTTATACTGTGACATGTTCACTAAAGCTCTGTCAAAACAACATAAAACAACCTTTTATTTAAAACAATGAGTGTGAGTCCCCTGATTTAAAGGGATTTAAAGGATCTATGGGATATTTTGAGGACGGTAAGAAATGTATTCCATTCAAAATATAGCATGCAAGTAAACAGTAAGCTGTGGTAATACTCTATCGTCATTGTTTGAAGCATATTTTAGCACAGTTAAGAGTGATGACACACTGAGCCATAATATTGTATATAAAGTCAATATTTCACTCTGCTATAAGGATTTGGCATAGATTTTACTCGTGGAATTAACTTCAAACAACACTTGCTTACACCGAAAAATGTCATATCAGATTCAGATTCATTTTATTTGCCATTTGCAGTAAAAAAACCACATTGGAATACATTAGCAAAAGTCACCAGTGTGCACAGACAAATACAGACATAAAACAATATGTGCAGGCTCAGGGAAGTCGTTCACCATGATGGGCTCCAGGGAGCAGCCCGGACTCATCCCTCGGCTCTGCAGCGCTCTGTTCAGCCGCATCGACCTGGAGCTGAGGGAGGGAGAGAGCTTCACTGTGGAGGTGTCCTATATGGAGATCTACAACGAGAAAGTCCGCGACCTGCTGGACCCTAAAGGGTATGCAACCTGATGCTTTTTGTACTCACCAGACATATGAGATGTTGGTGACAATGACTCGGGATATCCATTGTTCTGTAAAAACGTTTATTTTTTTTTGGTTGTACAAATTGTATATTTGATTTATATACAAACGTTGTCATCAAACGTGTGTGTGTTTTTGTTTTGTTTTTTGCTCTTACAGAAAGCTTATTCTGATGATTATAAACGTGAATTGGACCTAGATTTCCATTGGGAGACCTAAGAAAAAAAATATTTTAGGGTTCCCTAAATTTTTGGATTTGTCAAGAATTGTATCATTATGAAATAGTGCAGTCTGCATTATTTTAAGAAGTTAAGTACAATGTTGTAATCTTTCTCTTTTAGAAGTCGACAGGCATTGAGAGTGAGGGAGCACAAAGTTTTTGGCCCTTATGTGGACGGACTCTCACGTCTGGCTGTCTCCTGCTATAAGGTACTGCAAACATGTTCACTTTAATAATGTAAAACCCATGGTGACACTATACATCAATATATTTTACTTATTTGTTTTTCGGCATTTTGCTCAGGACATTGAGTCTCTGATGTCGGAGGGAAATAAATCTCGAACAGTGGCCGCAACAAACATGAACGAGGAGAGCAGCCGATCTCACGCAGTCTTCAACATCATTCTCACACACACACTACGGGATCTGAAATCAGGGGTACGACAACTATTGAGTCTTTTTGGTTAATGAAAAAGTGTACAGGAAAAATAACATTAATCATTGAATGATTGAATGAATTATTTTTGTTGGATTGTTTGGATTATGGTTGCTGTGGTTCCTGTAGACAAGCGGAGAAAAAGTGAGCAAGCTGAGTCTGGTGGATCTGGCCGGCAGTGAGAGGGCAGCAAAAACCGGAGCTGCAGGAGAGAGGCTGAAAGAAGGCAGTAACATTAACAAGTGAGTGAATCAATGGAACTACCAACTCTTCACAAACGAGTAAAATGGACATGGGACAAAGAAGAAAAACAGCTCCAACTTGAACACCACGTTAAATATATAATGGGACATGCTATTAGTACAACATTAGCTTTTTTTTACGTAACTTTATTACAAAGTTTTCTGAGATTATTAGTTAAAATCCATTATTTTTATGGTGGAAAAGTATTAAAATATATAATTAAAATATTTTATATTTTTGAAGAAAAAGTTGGGTACTCCAGCTTTAGCTTTTTTGTAAACTGGGAAGAGATGGTTTTTCCTAGGCAATCCTTCAAAGCCCCCTTGTTTTGCAGTTCATTTTTTTGGCATCTATTATTGCCTGTGTAATTCAATAATGAGACATTGTGACATTGAAGGGGGGAAAACTTGGTTGATTTGTGCTGACTAAGATCTTTTAGCTCTGTGCCAAAGTTTGTTTCATGTCAGCAGGTTCTGGGATTTCCTTAAATTAACTTTAATTTATGCCAAGAAATCTCCATCCAGTACAACTTAATTGAAATATACACCCATGTCTTGTGCAAACTTGTGTATTGGATAAAACTGATGTAATGCATATATGAATTTTCGCTAACATTTGCAAAAGTAGCTGAATGTACAAAGAACAAGAGCTGGCATTGTGCATGGGGACACTTGATATCTTGTAACATTATGTCCCTCTCTCTTCTTTGCTTTGATGATAACCGCCGCTGACGAAGATCCCTGAGTACTTTGGGTCTTGTGATCTCGGCCTTGGCTGACCAGGGAGCGGGAAGAAACAAGTTTGTTCCTTACAGAGACTCTGTGCTCACCTGGCTGCTCAAGGTACAACTTGATGTTAACTATTATTTGGCATGAAGCTTTTAACAAAATTCACAGGTCTCCAGGGCTCTATTGTCATATGTTCCAGGAAGCTCTTAATATGTGTCATGAAAAGCCACTTCTGAAAAAATATTGTTTTTATTTAGCTCTGGTGTATTCAAAGAGAACGTGAATTGTACTGGTAATCAACCCAGAATGAACCGTGGTCATTTCAAGATTAAAAAGATGGTTTTAATCTATAGTGTTATTCTCTGGGTAGAACTGCCACTGGAGCTTGCGATGCATAACCACTCAATGCACTCTCCCACATGCTTTATTTTCACTTTTCTTTATTTACACAAGGTGCATAAGGTGATAAACCTATCAGTGTCTGTACTGCTGTGTGTGCAAAGAAATGTGCTTGTTTCCTTATTGGCTTTGAGTTGTAGTCGGTGCAATAATTCAGCTCTTGTGTTACTATCCATGTTGGGCAAGTGTCCACAAAAACTTCGTGTAAACTAATATAATGAGATAGAAATAAAAAAATATATTTAGCTTAAATTATCAATACATTCTCATCAATCATCTGTCACCATTGTGCAGTAGGCCAAATTGTACATTTACCAAACACGTGCTGATATAAGGTCTTTCCCTTATTCGATTGTTTAAATGTTCAAAAACGGCTTTAATATAATATGACAATGACACATTTAGTTATGTGCCCCCTACAGGACAGTCTTGGAGGTAACAGCCGCACCGCCATGGTTGCCACGGTGAGCCCGGCAGCGGATAACTACGACGAGACTCTGTCCACGCTGAGGTACGCGGATCGAGCCAAAAGCATCGTGAACCATGCGGTTATCAATGAAGACCCCAACGCCAGGATCATCCGCGAGCTGAGGGAGGAGGTGGAGAAGCTCCGTGAACAGCTCACAGAGGCAGAGGTACACCAGCCGGGGCAACTGGTGGAGATTCAAACCGGAAGTAGGCAGACAATCTCATTTAGTCACACTTTCAAGAATACTAATGAAGTGATAGTCAATTAACTTTATTTATTTATTCACTGTATAGCAAATCTTGTGTAGAAAAATAGACAAAATAAACATAAAATGCAATGAAACGTTACATGAAGAATTTGGGGTATAATCATTTCATGAATAAACTGATTCTTTTTTGTGCATAATTCAAAAAAAATTTAATGTCAAGATTTGTCAGTTCAATTGAATTGCAATCACAGTCAATGAGGAGTGTGAACTCTCCTGAGCTATATGGGCTCCCATATGAATTATGTTTGCAACCTTCTCAAAATGCATTAAATCAGTGTCTCCCAAAGTGGGGTCCGCGGCCCCCTGGTGGGCCGCGAGGGTACTGCAGGGGGGCCGCGGGAGGTCATAAAAAAATAAATAAACATTTTAATGTTAAATTTATAATCTTTTGTTTGTAATATTGAAATATTTGTGTTCATTATTTGACTTGAATAATCCACTGTAATCATTTTTGTATTACAATGTTTGTAGCAGAGGCTATTTCCCCAAAATAAAATAACCAGAAGAGCCTATTCTTAATGTTGTCTTCTTGGTTATTATTTTGGGGGGCCACGCAGACCCGTCAGATTTTTAAGGGGGCCTCGGTGTTACTGAGTTTGGGAATGGCTGCATTAAATAAACACATACAATTATTCAATCTCCTGGTTGTTGACAAAAAAAGGCCAGTATGGCGTGTTGTATATGCTTTTTTAAACGAAAAACATACAATGAAGTACTTTTTCCTCTTGCATACCTTTTCATGTTAATAACATTTTCTGTGGACGAGGTGTGAACAGAACATTTATTTAAGATGATTGATTTCTATTGAATAGAAGGACATGTACACTTGGTTTACTTGAGGTGATCAATTTTGACTTCTGCACCTTTGCACCGCTTCCATTTGGTGTAGCTGGAGGTGTATAATGTTTTATTTACACATTTTTATTGAGCGGCAGTGTAGCTGCTGTGCTCATAGACATTTAGAGAAAAAAACTGACTGAAGTATTGTTCCATTATCAGTCGATGAAGGCCCCAGATCTGAAAGAGCGCCTTGAGGAGTCTGAGAAGCTGATCCAAGAGATGACTGTGACCTGGGAGGATAAGCTTCGCAAGACTGAGGCCATTGCTCAGGTACTGGCCCTGTGTTGCATTGGTCAAAGAACTGTGTTTTGTGTTGATTTTACATTTAAACTGTATTTTGTCGACTTTTCTAATCTGTTTTGCTTGGTGCAGGAGCGTCAAAAGCAGCTGGAGAGCCTGGGCATCTCTCTGCAGTCCTCAGGCATCAGAGTGGTCGATGACAAGTGCTTCCTGGTCAATCTCAACGCTGACCCTGCCCTCAATGAACTGCTTGTGTACTACCTCAAGGTACAACACACATCATCTGTAAAAAAGGACCAGGGTTTTAGAGGCTTGTTCACGCCTATTCCACAGGTGAAAGGTACATGGCCTAAAGACCTCATGAGTCAGCTTCAGTTGGACCAGATGTAAACTCATCTAGACTCAAGAAAAAAAATAGTTGGGTGTATAATAGAAATGTTTAATATTATTAATACATGTTAAATAAATTTCAGAGTGGAGTTTGCCTGCTCTCTCAGTGCTGAGTTGTTTTTTGCCGGGTACTCTGGTTTCCTCTACTCCTAATAACGTTTGCAATGTCACATACCATTATTCATTTGCAATATTATTTTTTGCAAACTATTATTTTTAGTCACAGTTACGATATTTCCCGTTTTCCACAGAATCACACTCGGGTGGGCTCGGCTAAGTCCCAGGACATCCAGCTGTGTGGGATGGCCATTCAGGCTGAGCACTGTGTCATTGACATCAGCGAAACCACTGTGGTCCTGACCCCTCACCGCAATGCCCGGTATGATGTACAGTTACACCAGAGCGCTTATTTATTTCCAATTGTGTGCAGAAATAAAAAATGCCACTAGATTCAGATTTAAATTCATTTTAATTGCCATTTGCAATAAAACCTTATTGGAATACAGTGGCAAAAGTCCCCAGTGTACACAAGACTTAAGTCTGAAACAAAAGAGCATTTCCACTTTCAACACAATAATTGTAGGTACTTTGATATTGCAATATGGTCAAGATATTTGTAAAACTAATCAGGAAAGGTTTCTCAAAATATTTGTTAATATAGTTTCCAAGATCAACTTTGCTTAAGCTGGTCTCGGCAACGTCATGGCTTGTATTGTGATTTCATGAAACTTTCAACTTTATCTTTTCTCTATAGAACTTGTGTGAATGGCTCTGCATTGACCAGTCCGGTGCAGCTGCATCACGGAGACCGAATCCTGTGGGGAAACAACCACTTCTTTAGGTTATCTACTCTTTCTTATTTTATTTGACTACTGCATGTAGTATGCATTTGTTAAGACATGCATTTGGAAAATATTTTTCCCAGCTTCGAACATTTTGAGCTCTTGTAGCTATATTGTTTTTTTATTTGGACACCCTACACCCCCCGCGGGCACATTGGGGTAAATCTAGGGCAGGGGTCGGGAACCCAAAAGGTTCAAAGAGCCATATTTGACAAAAAAACAAAAACAACATCCGTCTGGAGCCGCAAAAAAACAAAACAGCCTTGTATAAGGCTTGTATGAAGGTAACACAGGCTGAAGCTGTATTAGCTATAGTAGCCTATTATCTTAATCACAAAGTAAAGGCTACAAATACATAATAAGCATTCATGATTATCAAATGTGTGTTTTCACTGCAGCATGTCCTGGTGAGAATGACCCACCACGTGACACCTCTGCTTTAACTTTAACTTCCATTTTTTTTGTCTTCATGCAGTTGTAGAAATACAGTAAATAAATCTGCTTTTTGGCCCAGAGTTCACCTGCATCACTGTCTGTTCAAATCGATCACGTCATAAGCTGAAATTTCCCGGAGCTGAATTAATGTCCTTAATGGCCGTTTCTTTCAGTCTTTGCAGAGGTTTTTGAAGTCTGCAAATAGGTGCTATGACTTTCCGATGAATTAATCCTTCACGAAATCACCGTGAACTGTGTTTAGCGCTTCATTGTTCCTCCTGTTGCAACAAAAACTTCTCATTACAAACATGAATCAGTCCTTCCTCATTGACTGAAAGCAAACGTTCATTATCATTCTTAGTCCAGTCTTATCATCAACTCTTTCTCTTACTATCTTTGGGATCCATGCGCACTTAGTATGATGCACACATGCCGGTTTGTTTACAGCAGCAGCCGCCCTGTGCGGGGCCGCGTCACAGGATACGATGCACTGTGTGACAGAAATGTTGAAATTGAATATTACTTATGCACATTTTTACAGCATTTAAAAACGTTAAGAATGTTTTTCCTCCTACAGAAACCACATTCAAACTAGAAATAAAATATAGCCCTCACACTCCATTTTCAGACATTTTTGAAAAGGCTCCAGGAGCCATTCGAGGAGCATTAAAGAGCCTCATGCGGCTCCGGAGCCGCGGGTTCCCGACCCCTGATCTAGGGTAAGGGAACAAATTAAGGGCTCGGGGGAGAATTGGGACAGGGCAGTCCTTTACCAGTCCTTACTAATGTGTTTATCTGTAAACTATATCAGTATCATTATGTTCATCTAATCTGTTTTCTTCCTGTTTCCCTTTTACATTTCCTCTTTGTGCTATCGACCTGCCCCCTCACATACAGGATAAGTCTGCCTAGGAACAAAGCTCTGAGTGCGGCCGAGGGGGAGGAGAGCTCTGGGCCTAAACCCAGTCTAAGCGCGGACCGTCTGGATGTGGACCACTATGGCTTCAACGATGCCTCCAGCGAGCGGAGTTTCAGCTACGAGTCGGCGCAGGCAGAAGTCATGATGAAGACCATGGGCAGCAATGGTCAGCCTCCTTCATCATTATCGTACCGGCTGGTTTGACAGGATTTCTGCAGGGTCCTAAACAGTTACATTTCAAAAGAGGGGATTCAAAAGTCTCAAATATAATCTTGTTCCTTTTGAACCTAGTTGTGCAGACCTTTAAATGGTCTTATTATTCAAATGTAGTACATGGAATATAGCACAATACCTTAATCATTTAGTGGAACATTTAGTAAAAAAAACTTTCAAAAGCAGAAAGTAGGTCCTATGTTATATTTCTTGTCTTGATAAAAGTGGAATTTGTTTTAGTTGTTCATAGTTTGACACACCGACACACTACATATTATATTTCTGTGTTTTCAGACCCGTTGCAGTCAGTTCTGCAGACGCTGGAGCGGCAGCATGAGGAGGAGAAGCGCTGTGCTCTGGAGAGACAGCGGCTGATGTACGAACAGGAGCTTCAGCAGCTCAGACAGAAACTTACCCCAGAGAAACCCTCCAATCTGCTGGAACCAGGAACTTCTGCCACTAATACTGCCACCGGCCCTGAGAGACGCTCCCGCCGCTGGAGTGAGGACAGGTGCCACAGAACACACCTGTACACATCCAAACTCAAACTTGGAAGATTTGTTATGCTGTCAATGTAGGCAAGGCAAGGCAAGGCAAGGCAAGGCAAGTTTATTTGTATAGCACAATTCATACACAAGGCAACTCAAAGTGCTGAACAAAACAAGAAAGCATTAAAATCATAAATAATCACAGAACATTAAAAAGAAAGATAAAAATATAAAATCCCTCAGTTGTATGCAACGTAGAGTCTGTGTATAAGGAAATCCTTTTTTGTTAGTCAATCTGAAGTCCCCAATGAAATGTCATACAAGCATATTTTTCCCCTAGTGGTGCCATACTTTCACAGATGCAATGAAAAGCATAGAAAATGTCACATAATTGAATAAATAATATATCATATAATTTTAATAAAAGGATATGTTTATCACTCCACCATCAGTAGGGTAATCGACACTGTGTTAGTTGGCAGGATTGGGCTATAAATACTGGATGGACTTGAAATTTGTTGAAATTTTTGGTGTATTTTGGTATGTGTAGGAAATCCCATTATAATGATTGTTGCATTGCACATTCTAGTTTCTTAATTGCCTTAACAGGCCTTTGGTATCATGACCCACCTTTATACCCTTAGGAAAAAAGTCCTACCAAGAATCTATTGACAAAGCCATTTCAAAGTTGTCATGATGAAACATTTTTCCCTTTATTTGCCAGCAACAAATACAAACCTATACATACTCTTTATATACAATCAATTCCTTCCAAAAGCACACTGGAAAAGCTCATTCATTTTCAGAGAGGCAATGATGACCCGGAGCCTGCGTCGCCTCAAAGAGCAGATTGTGAGGGTGAATCTTCTGGCTCAAGAGGCTGGATTCATCGCAGAGGAACTGAACAAGAGGACTGAGTATCTGGTCACACTGCAGATCCCCGCTGCCAACCTGGATGCCAACAGGAAGGTACAGACATAACCTTATTATTAGCATTAACATTTATTAAAGCCACTGCGTAGCAAGTTTGGTTGTACCTGCATTTACTACTTGGCCTCTGCTGTAATATGATATGCTGTTACAGATAGCAGAATGGTAGAATGATGTGTGTGGTTTTTGTTATTTATATATTTTTGTGTTCCTTGTAGCGTGACGCTGTCCTGAGCGAGCCGGCTATCCAAGTCCGTCGTAAAGGAAAAGGGAAGCAGATCTGGGCCCTGGAGAAGATGGAGAACAGACTGGTGGACATGAGAGAGTTGTACCAGGAGTGGAAGGACTTTGATGAGGACAACCCTGTCAGTAAAACCCCTTATGCAAATACATTGTTAGTTTTGAATTTAGATTTTATTTATTTTGATTTCTGAAAAGTTCTATATGTCTAATAGTAAGATAGCTGTTTGTGATTAAGACCCTCAAATTATGGCATTTTGTATTATGTTTTTTTTTTTCTTTGATTATGGATTAATCAATTTCACATTTCACTTGTTAGCGTGTATGCTCTTGTGCTCCAGGAAATCTCCAGAGTAGAAGGAGTTTTTAGTTATATTTTATATAACATAAAGATAAATGTGACTACAGAGGTCTCTCTTCCAGTTTATCGTAAAACAGGGCTGAGATGTTTGTGAAGTAAAATGTTGGGTGTAAATTTGTCGTGATAAAAAATGAATAAAAGTTGCGTTGACTTTTTCACCAATCTTTTCAATGATTTTTTCTTTCCTCAGGTGATGCGGTCCTATTTCAAACGTGCCGACCCGTTCTTCGATGAGCAGGAAAACCACAGTCTGATTGGCGTGGCTAACGTGTTCCTCGCTTGTTTGTTCTATGACGTGAAGCTTCAGTATGCAGTACCCATCATCAACCAGAAGGGGGAGGTAAACAAACGTACTATTACACCCTATAGACTAGAGACTGCTTTATTGAAATGAATTTTCTAATTGAGGTGCACTCACTTGATGTCATCTGGCAAGTTCAGTAGAGCAGTGTATTTATATGGACAATAAGCCACATTATCACTAACTTCGGTAGCTACAGTAATTTAAAAGTGTTCAACAAAACTTAACAATGTGAAAATATGACTATAGCTTGCATGTTTGAACAACCAAAAATGACAAAAACCACTTTCACAAATGCTGCGTCATGCCCATGCAGAAAGTCTGTGCTCTGGTTGTTAGTCATGTTTAAGGTTCTCTAAATTCTATACCACAGAGAACATGGGTTCATTTTAAAGCAGACATTTCTCACTATGGTTTTTGTTGTTGTTAGGTGGCTGGCCGATTGCATGTGGAGGTGTGGAGAGGCACGGAGAGCTCCGAGGACAGCAGCGCTCAGGTTGACTCTCTGAGCTTAGAAGGAGAAACACATGAGCGACAACTCTACTGTGTGGTGAGAAATGAGCTTTCAATGTATTTAATGTGAGAGATGGGGACGGGGGGAATCTTTTGACTTGAATGTATTTCCATTAGTTAGTTAATAAGACTTCAAAGCCTCTGTGAAATCTTTCCTCAGACTCACACTGTCAGTGCTCAGAGGTCTGTGGAATTAAGAGTATTGTTTTTAAGCCTCAGTCAGTGTGCACCTTGGTGTTAGGACAGGAAAATAAAAATTATAGCATCCAAAAGGATTGTTTTTTTTTTTTTACTTGACAGTTTGGACCGCTTGTGCGCAGTCTTCCTCAGAATGGTCATGTTCCTTATGTCTTATTTTAGCTGTCGTACATGGTGGTTTTGGCACTGTTTACTTACCAACAGAAAAAATGAAAAAAACATTTTCTAAGATTATTTTTCTTTCTTATTATTTCTTTGTGTGTCCTCGAGTGTCTTAAAGATGCCATTAAATAAAATGAATTAATATCATTTTCTTAGTGTTTCCAAATTAACTTTGATTAAAGACTAAAAATGTAACTTCTCTTCAAGCCTCTTATTTTCTATTTGAAAATTACTTTAGCATGAGAGTCAACATTACTCAATGCAAAAAAGTCATTACACTCTTGGTTTCATCCTCCAGGTGAAGCTGCTGCAGGCCACAGGACTCCCTCGCCACCTGTCAAACTTTGTGTTTTGTCAGTACCACTTTTGGGGTCAAGAGGAACCTGTGTTTGTGGCCCCAGAAATGACCTCCCCTGGGTCGCCTTCTGCCTCCCGGGACCCACAGTGCACCGTGGTCTTTGACAGCGCCAAGGTCAGACTAAGTGCATTCATTTAACAAGTTTTAGTCCTGATTTAGCCTGATTTGAATTGTGTATTTGCAAAATGTATATAAAAATGTATTTTGTAATAATAATAATAATGCATTGGTTTTATATAGCATTTTTTTGAACACTCAAAGATGCTTCACACGTCATTATTCATTCAGTCCATATACGGCGGTTGTACGATTCTACAGCACATTGACAGAAGCGACCACCACCAATCATTCACGCAAACACCAGACTCATTCTATGCAGTGTAATGTGAATGACGACGCCTAACGACGCAATGGCAGTTTGGTACTTTATTGCCGCAGCCGCCCCACTGTGGAACCTGGTGATCCCAGAGGTCTCTCATCACAGTACTATGCTAAAGATAGATCATTTATAGTTTTTTGCTATACTTAACATTAACTTATCTTGTATTGTGTAGTCCTCACTCCTTTTACTTGGGATGCAACACTGACATTTCCCTACTGTGGGACGAATAAAGCATCTCTTGATCTAACCAGGCTCTGCCCTACTTGGCTTCAGAGGTCTGATCTGGCTTTCACATGCATGAAAATATGATTATGTACTGCACTTTAAACTCCCTTTGAGCTTTCCTGCATAAAATTTGACACAACCTCCATCTTTTCTTCTTTGTTTTTGTTTTTTCAAGGAGCTAATTGTTTCTGTTTCGGAGGATTTTGTGGAGTACTTGTCTGAAGGTGCTGTGGCGATCGAAATGTACGGACACAAACAAGCCAACCACCGCAGGAACCTGGCTCTGTGGGACCTGGGTGTCATCCAGGCCAAGACCCGATCACTGAGGGAGAGGTACAAGCAGATTTTGTTTCCACATTAAATAGAAATCCCATCATTTTTATGCTCAATCCAATCTTAGACTCAATAGAACTATTGTTAACTTGTGTAATACGGTGTTTTCTCAATCATGCCCAGAGTAATATAATTTATGTTTCTTAAATGTCTGTTAAAGTAAATCTGTTGAGAATATAATGCACATTTCCAATTCAAAAGGCAGTATAGTTTTTTCCAGTGGCTTTGATGCTGAACTTGTGCTCATATTTTTTGGGACAGAATGTGTTAAACCAGCTACACTTTTTTTGTTATACATTAAGATGATTTATAATTATGACACAGAGGATCACAAACTGACTTATTGCGATGCTCAGGTCTATGCAAACACAATCTGCCTGTAGTGCATTCTGTCTAGACCATTATATTGTTTTTACTTGTAGCCGCAGGTGTGTAATAAACGGATCTTGTTGTATCCCTGAAATGTAGCAACATAAGCAGGGAGCCTGAGGGCCTATAACAAATTCTCTGAGGGCTGCTGCGGACTATCGTTTGGCCGTGTCTGCTGTAGATTGCTACGACATTACCTTTAAGTAGGACAGTGGCTCTCACTTGTGTGCTCTGTGTTCAGATGGAGTGAGGTGACCCGGCGTCTGGAGCTGTGGGTGCAGCTGATGGAGCTGAACGATGCCGGAGAGTTCACCCCTGTGGAGGTCACAGCCGCTAAAGACGTGCGCACCGGAGGCTTGTTCCAGCTCAGACAGGTACAGAGCAGATAATGCAACACATTTAAAATGATTATGATAAATTAAAAGGGTTAAATATTGAGATGCATTCGTTGAGGCGTAGAGGGCCGCAACAACAACTTTCTGTCACCTTCTTTGCTATGATTGAGTTTACCGGAGTGTTAAATGTAGTTGTTCTAATGGCAGGGCCAGTCTCGCCGCGTGCAGGTGGAGGTGCGCTCTGTCCCGGACTCGGGGACAATGCCACTGATCGCCGCCTCCATTGTGTCTGTTTCCATTGGCGACGTCAAAGTCCGACAGGCTCCTCCCACCAGAGCTGCAGAGATGCACTGGGTGAGGCGTCCAAGAGAGTCACTTTGAAGAAAATAACAACGTTAAAACTGATATTTTCAAGTGTTTGATACCAAGTGTGTGTATTCCAGGGGGAGAATGAAGAGATGGACAGCTATCAAGTAAGTAGCACCTTCTGGTCTTCAAGGGGATGTGTTTTATAAAGATTTTGTTGAACAAAATATAATTATTATTTTGTATCCGCCTCAAAAATCACACATTGGTTCTTGTTTCACTTATAAATAAATTAGTTTTCCCAGTAAGGACACATTAAATTTTGGTGTTCATATTGTTAAAACCTGTCTGACCAGCCAGAACCACACAATTTAAGCAAATACAAGAATGTCGATCAAGAATATCAAAATTATTAACTTTGTGCAACCCTAGACATATCCATTAAATAATGAATATGAAATCAAATACATATTATGCATTTATATTAAACAAAATGAGTAATGACATTAAGTTGTATGTCAAAACAAATGTCAACTAACATAAAGTTCTTCTGGTCCTTGTCAGGAGGTGGATCTGGAGCGCATGAGGCAGCAGTGGCTTTTCACTTTGACTCAGAGACAAGAATACCTGGACCAACAGCTACAGAAGATTGTCTCCAAACCTGGTAGACTCTTTTGTGATCAATTATTACTGCTGCTGTCACTATCCATTTTAGCACTTTATTTTTAGATTAGTTGACATTTAGAATTATTGACACAACAGATTAAAAAAATATGTGAATAGACCACAATAAATATTACTAATGGTTGTTTTGATTGGTTTCTGATGATTTCTTTTAGATGTGTCACAGATTCAATGATCTATTTGCAAAAAAATATTATTCAAATTATTGAATAATATTTTTATTATTCTTTGCAAATAATAAAATAGTTTATTTTTGTGCCCTTTCTCAAATGCTTTTATTAATTGTTTACAATATACAATATGAACATCATTGCACTGCCTTTTTAAATACATCTCTAGCCAAAATGGCTGAACTTGTACAACTTACAGTGATTTTTGCATGTTCTTGTGTCTTAGATAAATCAGAGGACGATGTAGAGCGAGAGTCTCAGCTGCTGGAGTGTCGTCTGACCCTGACTGAGGAGAGGAACGCAGTCCTGGTGCCGTCTGCGGGCAGCGGTATCCCAGGAGCCCCAGTCGAGAGGTCTGTGTCCATACTTTTCTCAGGAAAACATTATTATTCACTACATGTTCGTGGTAAAGATGGGTACTATATGAAAAATAATATTGTCTTGATGATGCAACATTTAAATATTGAGTTTTAAAATTTAAAGGACTGTTGTAGTTCATATAGAGGCATTTTTTTGCATTCATAAATAGTGAAATATCATTTGCGATATTAATCAAGATAAACAACAAAAAATTCTGACTAGAAGTAGCTGTTTTCCGTTATAGGCCTTCTGTTGTACACATATATTAGATTCATTTTAGAATCCATTCCCCTCTTTGCCCCTCATTTACAACAGCAGCAATTGGGTGCAGTCCACAGTCCTGTTTTATTTATCTGATCTAATGGTAAGTGAGAGATCAAATTTTTTTGGGCAATACATTCTTAATATCAAAATGGTTGTTTTAACGGTGTGTCAGATATGAATGTTGTTTTTTTGTAGAATTGAAAAAGTGGTGAATAGAGTTGATCTACAATGTGACAAACATAAACTTGCATTGTGCCTTCTCCTCAGCCATTTCTATATTGCACTGTGCCGCACTTAGGAAACTTATTTTGTTCGGGAAATATCTGGCCATCTTAGTTTTTGTCGATAGTACTCACGACTCTGAATGCCTTTTATAGTTTGGCATTTCAACTATCTGCGCTAAAGGAGACGGAAGCAACATTTCCATTTTTAACTTGTGATTAATGTGGTAGTTTTAGCAAGTGACACACACACCCGTGTTTGTATGTGCAGCAGGAGATTTGTATTGTGTTAATGATGTGTTAAAATGTCTGTCTGATGGTGTGTATCCCTCAGGGTCCCAGTCCCCGGAATGGAGACGCACATCCCAGTTATCTTCCTGGATCTCAGTGGTACGTTATTGTCTATTGTAGTTTATAGAGAATTAGATGAAAGCCCAATACAAAGTTAACACCTACTTTCAGTTCATAGTTGATTGATTGAGAAAAACCATACAAAACCGTTCATGGACAAATAATTGAGCAGGTTTTGTTTTATAGGAACCTTGGGGTTGAACTGGACAATGAACTGTGTTGGCAAGATCATGTGTCAAATATCTGTGCAAAGATCCATCAGTGGCTGTACTTTCTGCGTAGGCTTAGAGTATTTGGAATGTTGACGCCTGGGAGGACTCCACTGTGCAAAAAAGCAACAGGTTTAAAAACTCTCTTGTGCCTCAGTCCATACAACTTCTAAATAGCATCAGGTGATAGGGTTAGGGTCTTGGTGCAATTGTGTTTTCTGTGTTTTATGTTATGTCCAAGACACATTTCTCTTCTGGGAGACAAGATAAGAAATGAATCTGAATCTGAATCTGAGTTGTTGTTTTCTGTAGCGGACGATTTCCAGTCCAGACTCTCTGCGCCTCTCTCCGGGGGTCTAGACATGTTACTCACTGAAGAAGATGAGGATGAGTTCTTTGACCTGCACATTGTCAAACATTATGATCCAAAGGTGGGCAGACTAATTATCCTATTTCATTAGAATATAGTTACTAATCATTGTTTTGTCTGGCTTTGAGCATCAAAGGGGGCATCATTTGGTCCATACTTAAGAAATGATGGTCACTGCATCAAAGGGTTTTTAATGATTTTAATATTCTATGTCTCTCTCTTCAGCCATCTCTCAAATGTAATCAGGTAATTATATTTCACTAGGCACCTGCAGATCCCTTTTAGTGAAGCGTTTATGTCGTGCAGTGACTTGTAGCTCCATAGTTACTTTTTAATTTGTTACAGATACAACAACAGTCTTGTGAATTTCTGTCATATTCCATTCTTTACATTCTGCTAGATTTAAATCCAAATTTAACAAGAATAATGTAATTGAAGGTCGTAATTTACCACTGCTACCATTATTGTTGCGCTTTCTACTTCCATCCATCCATCCATCGATCCTCTTCCCCTTAATACATTTCTGGGTCAGGGGGTGGCAGTCATAGCTGCACCCAGTACACAGAACACCAGCCCCTCACTGATCCTCCTGCAGGTGGTGAGTCCACAGGAGCCTTGATTATTCAGCGGGGGCTTCAGGCAAAGTGGGGTTAAGTGTCTTGCCCAAGGACACAACGACAGTAGTCATCAGTGGGAGTTGTGAAGTAGGTCTTGTGATGGGCTCGAACCCACGACCTTCAGGCTCTAAGGCCAATGCTCTACCAACTGTCTCATCTCATATTCTAAACCATGAAATGTCGAAGTAAAAGTGTTCTAGATCATAAAAGACAAAATCATACATAATTGTTCTTTAAATGGATTGTTGTTGGATATGACTCGATCACATTCTTTTCGCTAGTTTCTTTGCATGAGAAGTATTCATGAGTTTGAAGTGTGTATTGTCATGTGCTGCAGGTGAAGGTGGAGGCGTCCTGGGACTCCACGGTGCATGAGTGCCCTGAGCTGAGCCGCGCAGGAGCTGCAGACCTCCGGGTTTATCTGACTGTGAAGACTGTGGTGCAGCTGTCTCACCCGGCCCATATGAGGCTGCTGCTGCGGAAACGCATCTGTGTCAATGTCACTGGCAGACAGGTCAGAGACACGGCTCAATGTTTCTTTCATTTCACCACTAAGTTAAAGGAGAGTTGTTATATCACAATATTATTACTTGAGGGATTACAATCGTAAAACTCTTGGCAGAACGTAAGTCATCTGGACTCAGTCAAGATGTTCTGACTCTCAAATTGACATAAGAACTTCAGTTCAGTTCAGTTCAACTTTATTATTCCCGTTGGGAAATTTGTCATTAGGGTTAATGTTGGATGTTCCCCTTAGTCGGGACAAGAGCTGGAGGATTTTGTCTATTTTACATGTTTTTAATGGTAGGGGAAACTGAAGCACCCGGAGGAAACCTACTGTACGCAGACACGGGGAGAACATGCAAACTCAAGGCCAAAGGGCAAAGTACACAAAAGATAACATGTTTATTCTAATAATAAAGACAGCATGTTGTGGACTGATTTGTTCACAACACCCAGCTTTTAAAGCATGCTTTTTTTGTGAGGTTATATAAAGATTTAATGAATGCGACTAAATGAATATAGTTTGTGTTGAACAGGGCTTTGCTCAGAGTTTCCTGAAGAGAATGTCGCAGCGCAGCACTATCCCCGGCTGTGGAGTCACATTTGAGATCGTCTCTAACATCCCAGGGGTGAGAACAATTACAAATCACTTTATCCTTGCAGTGCTGCTTAAGTATTTACCGTTCTCTTGTGTTCAGGATATCCATGGGCCAGAGGACAGGGAGATGCTTGCTCGGCTGGCGGCCAGTGCAGAGGAAGACCCTACGGCGGACAGCGAGGCGGCCATAGAGAAGTATCTGCGCAGTGTTCTAGCGGTGGAGAACATCCTCACTCTGGACCGACTGCGGCAGGTGAGCGGTATTTTGTAAATGACAGAAGACATTTTTGAACTAGTTAACCATAAAAATGTTCCCGTTTCATGATTGGGTTGGAAACGTTTCCCTTGCATGTTAACTTTAGACAGTTAAACGTGAAAACAGTGAAAAATCCGCACAGCTATGTTGCTCCCAATCAGTGTCCACAGACCACGGAGTCTCAGGCCCCTTCATCAGACAGAACTTCATCATTTCACGTTTTTGAACTTTTATAATCCAGCACCCTAGTTCAGACTACAGGGATGTGCGGCCTTATTTGAAACCAACCTTTGACAGTTACCAATAGTTTTTGAAATAAAGAAATGTAAGTTTACCCATGCAATAGTTTCACATAATAAAACTCTATAGAGCCTATGGTTAAACATTTTTGGTGGAGGGCTGCTGAAAGATCATTGCTCATAACTGTCAAAAGTCATAATTCTAGTCTTAATTTATCGCTGATTTTTCTGTAATTCCTGAGTCAATCCACATGATACATCGATAGGGACTGACTTCTTTGTTGTCAGTCCGTATCAACTATTGTCTTATTTTATTGTTGTGACTATATTCAAAAACATACACATGCTGCTGGCCAGTAGAACTAATATAAGAATAATACATGATCTGGGAGAACATTTGGACATTTCTTTCCCAGAAAGTGTGTTTACATTTATTAAGCAGTCACCTTTGGATCAAAATAAACATCAGTGCTCAAATTGCTGTTTCCTTAAAGGTAATGCATGCAAAATGAATACAGGTTCAGGCTGTATGCTCTATATTGTGATGTTTACAGGAGGTTGCAGTAAGGGAACAACTGGCCGTGAGAGGAAAAGCCCAGAAGCACAGTCTGAGCTCTCCTAGTGTCAACCAGGTCAGCCATGTTTGATTTCAAATATCTCTGTGTGGCTACTAATAACTAACTTATATTTATAACATATTTTTGTCCTCCATCAGATTCTAACATTACATTAATACCTCAGTCAAAAGCAGACTACTGTACTTTTTACTAACCATTTACTAACCATTTTTAACTCGCTAACCTTTGGCTGTGCAGCTGTCCTCCAGTTCCATGGACCTATACTCATCCACTCACAAACTTAATGAACTCAAGGTGAGGCAAACATGGTAGTTTTGTTTTTTCATGTGTTTTAGAACTGGTTTGAGGCCTAGGTTATTCATGCCTGTTAATAAATGAATCAAGAACACATGTCTGTCTTCTATATAATTATAATTCATGGCATACATTGCTCTTCATTATCCATATCCATATCACTGCCCCTTTACACCACATCAGCATCAAAGGCCACACAGGCTCTACTCAGACCAGCAATCAAGCTTCCGTTGAGAAAAAAGGCCTGTATGTACGTAGCAGACATAAAATTGGTAAAAGTAAAAACAGTGGGGTGTAGCAAGGGAAAGCAAGGGCATCTCCAGTGTAGGTGAATATATGTGTGAATATAAAGTATTCGGCCCCTTTGAACCTTTCAACATTTCGCCACATTTCAAGCTTCAAACATAAAGATATAAAAATTTAATTTAATTTAATTAAACAAGTGGGACACAATCGTGAAGTGGAACGAAATTTATTGGATAATTTAGACTTTTTTAACAAATAAAAACTGAAAAGTGGGGCGTGCAATATTATTCGGCCCCCTTGCGCTAATACTTTGTAGCGCCACCTTTTGCTGCAATTACAGCTGCAAGTCGCTTGGGGTATGTCTCTATCAGTTTTGCACATCGAGAGACTGGAATTCTTGCCCATTCTTCCTTGCAAAACAGCTCGAGCTCAGTGAGGTTGGATGGAGAGCGTTTGTGAACAGCAGTCTTCAGCTCCTTCCACAGATTCTCGATTGGATTCAGGTCTGGACTTTGACTTGGCCATTCTAACACCTGGATACGTCTATTTGTGAACCATTCCATTGTAGATTTGGCTTTATGTTTTGGATCATTGTCCTGTTGGAAGATAAATCTCCGTTCCAGTCTCGGGTCTTTTGCAGACTCCAACAGGTTTTCTTCCAGAATGGTATTGTCCTGTATTTGGCTCCATCCATCTTTCCATCTATTTTAGCCATCTTCCCTGTCCCTGCTGAAGAAAAGCAGGCCCAAACCATGATGCTGCCACCACCATGTTTGACAGTGGGGATGGTGTGTTCAGGGTGATGAGCTGTGTTGCTTTTACGCCAAACATATCGTTTTGCATTGTGGCCAAAAAGTTTGATTTTGGTTTCATCTGACCAGAGCACCTTCTTCCACATGTTTGGTGTGTCTCCCAGGTGGCTTGTGGCAAACTTTAAACGAGACTTTTTATGGATATCTTTGAGAAATGGCTTTCTTCTTGCCACTCTTCCATAAAGGCCAGATTTGTGCAGTGCACGACTGATTGTTGTCCTATGGACAGACTCTCCCACCTCAGCTGTAGTTATCTGCAGTTCATCCAGAGTGATCATGGGCCTCTTGGCTGCATCTCTGATCCTTGTTTGAGATGAAAGTTTGGAGGGACGGCCGGGTCTTGGTAGATTTGCAGTGGTCTGATACTCCTTCCATTTCAATATAATTGCTTGCACAGTGCTCCTTGAGATGTTTAAAGCTTGGGAAATCTTTTTGTATCCAAATCCGGCTTTAAACTTCTCCACAACAGTATCTCGGACCTGCCTGGTGTGTTCCTTTGTCTTAATGGTTCTCTCTGCGCTTTAAACAGAACCCTGAGACTATCAAAGAGCAGGTGCATTTATACGGAGACTTGATTACACACAGGTGCATTCTATTTATCATCATCAGTCATTTAGGACAACATTGGATCATTCAAAGATCCTCACTGAACTTCTGGAGTGAGTTTGCTGCACTGAAAGTAAAGGGGCCGAATAATATTGCACGCCCCACTTTTCAGTTTTTTATTTGTTAAAAAAGTTTAAATTATCCAATAAATTTAGTTCCACTTCACGATTGTGTCCCACTTGTTGATTCATGACAAAAAAAATTTTTTTTATATCTTTATGTTTGAAGCCTGAAATGTGGCGAAATGTTGAAAGGTTCAAGGGGGCCGAATACTGCAAGGCACTGTAAATGATTAAAACGTGCATGAATCACTATATAATGTGTAAATGGCTGTGTAAAACCACTAGAACAGGATGAATGTCTGTGAATAGTAAATTTTGTGCCCATTAATATGTTTGTGACTTTAGGGTTGGCAGAGTCACCAGGACCTGTCTCTGGCTCCTCCTGCCAAACCTCCTTCCAAACCTCCTGCTGCTCCCTCCAGCTCCTCCTCCCTGACCGGGAGCCTCCACCCAGACACTGGTAACATTAGAAAATCTTACTTTATTTTGGCTTTCTGTTTTCTTGTGTGCACACAGTCGACCGCTGTAGCAATTCTTCGCACCTGTCTGTTGCCACAATTTCTTTAAAAAGGACCTAAAAAAGCCTGTTGGTATGAACATCTGAAAAGTCCAACATCCAAGTTGCTGTTTCCAGTCTTTTTTCCACACCTAAAACTTTGCTTGACATGTTTTGTTTTCCATTTGCTCTTTCTGGTTTGTGCGTTTGTGATCTGTGTCATTCAGGTTTTGCTGCATCTTTTCTGCCCCCAGTGAAGTCCGTACCAAGGCTGCTCATGTCATTGCTTCCTGGATCCAAGGACGACAAACCGGAACCCGCGCTCTCCCCCCCTCCTCAGGTACACTCCAAACTACACGTTCGAGGTTTACATATTTTGCAGAATTCAGAAAAGCATTCACACATCCGCTGCTATTTTGGTCTTCTGTCACCATGGGAACAGCAGAAATGTACAGAACAAGGCAAACAATGGGGAATGAAGAGGGGAATATGAAGAGAGGAAGTGAGCTGCGCTGAAGGCAAAGAATGATTATCAAAGAGTTTTATCAGACGCCACGTCAAAAGAGTGAAGCGCTTGAGGCGGCACTGAAAAAAAAAGACATATATATGCATATTACCTTTTGCTTAGTTTGTGTGCATTGTGGCTCAGTCACAGTAGTAGTTTATCATGCAATGGTGATAAACTACGAGTGTAGCCACTGCGGCCCTGGGGCACACGAACAGAAGCGAGGCAACCAGTATGTACCATCGGCTCCTCCGACTACCACCAACCATTCACACACATACCAGACTCATTCTAGGCAATGTGGATGCAGTGTCTTGCCTAAGGACACAAAGACTGCTGCACCCGTATCACCGTTGCACGTGTTCTTAGAGGTCTCCTATCACAGTACTAAGCAGGCCCTGCCCTTCATAGCTTCAGAGGTCTGACGGGATCTGGCTTTTGCATGCAAGTTTGGCTACATGTATTTATTGTTGGAATGTAATCATTCCAACAGTAAATACATATCTTTTAGTGACGTTTAAGCAAACACAGGTGGCAAAAGTACAAGTCTTAGATACTACTGTGAATACATGCATGGAAACTGGCAAAATTAGAAAACCCATTTTTTTTTAAACGCAGTTGGGTTTAAAAAATTAAATTTTGTATTTGTTTTCATTATTAAGTAAAGTACACATGCAGTACTTTGAGTAGTAGTAGTACTATAGAGCAGTGGTGCTCTGTCAGTGTTGGGCAGGAAGGATTTTCACTGTGTGTGTGAACAGTGAACATTACACACAGGCTTCACTCTGACCTGAGGATGATCAGTGCGGCTTTGACGGCACATCCTCGAGAGTCACAGCACACATGCGCACTGCATACATGCGCACTGCACACATGCGCACTGCACACATGCGCACTGCACACATGCGCACTGCACACATGCGCACTGCACACATGCGCACTGCACACATGCGCACACACGGCCATTGTCTGCTGGGGTGGATCGGAGCTCGCACATTGAGGCCCTCGTCCTCAATCCTGTATCTGCCCAGTCCCGCACATGCACTAACTCTTCCCTTTTCTGTGTAACAAGTTGAGTGCTTCAATTACTACACACATTTGACAGTCCTTAACATCACAGCAGGGAACATAGAAAGCCCCTGCACACACACCAGACACCAGTGAATTGAGTGAAGTTATTGGCAGCGCTGGTAGCAAAAAAAATAGTTTTATAGGTCATATTTTACATCTGTGGATATTTTTGTGTAATTACTTTTTTACATATCAAGGTATTTTACACAAACAATTACCTTTATTTTACTTTTTTTGTAGGGTTTTGTTCCGAAATCACTACATTTATTCGGGAATTGAAAGGTGGGAGAATACTGTAAAAACCAATTTAGAGATACTTTTAATTAAATTTGAAAAATAAAATTATATATAATAAAATTATAATAAAGTAAATTGGTTTTAAAATTAAGTATAAGTTGAGGTAATCACAGACGAAAAGCCTACGCCTGCCTATCAGCCCACCCTTACAGTCCTCACAAGCGTTCAAACCAACACACCAATCCGAGGCATTGTTCTCCGCATATTTCATCTCGAAAAGTCTTGAATTCCAAATGCTGTGAGTACACGTCTCGACAGGTGTCTGGGCTTTGATTGTTGCTCTGTTAGTTTGACACGAGCGAGTGAGGAGCAGCTGAAGCAGTCGTCTCCAATCACAGCACATCAAACCTGCAGAGAGAGACCCGACTACAGCGTCTCTCACAGAGGGAGGGAAATCAGGGCGCGATCTGAGTGTGTGAAGTGGTGCCATTGTTTTACATTTGGCTTCTAATGAGCGCTTGTTTTCTCCACGCGAGCTCTGGCTGTAGGTCAACACCAAACAAAAAGATCATTAACTCAGCAGAGAAAAGAACAACGCGTGTGAATGTGTTTTTGAGAAAAACACAAGGATTTATCAGGAAAACATGGGAGAGGAATCAAACATGACTAGTTCATCGAATAATTTGTTTTTTTTTTGAGAACTGTAGGCTGTAGAGATGAGCAGGTCCAAAATATAGAGCTCAAATATATATTTTTGTTTTTTAATTTACTGGGAGGATAAGCCCTTAAAGATAAAACATAAAGAAAAAAGTGCGCAAAGTTTATTTCGTTTTTTGAGGACCCCCTCGGAAATGAAATACACTTTTTTCTGGCTCTAATGAACTATATTTGTGCACTGCAGAGAATCATAGCATAGTCTGAAGTTGGATATTGTTGCAGTGATTGTTGCAGTTTATTTCCCAGCAAAATGTTTATTGTAAATGCATCCATCCATCCATCCATTTTCTTCCCCTTAATCCATTTCTGGGTCGGGGGGGTGGCCAGAGATGCCACCCAGTACACTTAGCACCAGCCCCTTTTATTGTAAATGGCTAAGCCAAAATAAAATGTACAAATGTGTTTTGTCTCCAGCCCAGTCTTCCTCGGATCATGGTCCAGTCGGCGAGCGTCGAAGAAGGAATGAGTCGACTTCTGCAACCAGTAAGAACAAGACATTATTATTGAGCTGCTGTGTCATTTTCTTTTTGTCGGGATTATCACCAATAACTGATTTGAACTATGAAAAAAATAATCCCAGTGGGACTTCCCTGGTTAAATTCTAATGAAATGATACATCTGAATAATCTTAGCTAAAATAAGTAATGTATCATAGCAATTCATACTTAAACAGTATGTATATGATAGAAATGTTATTTACAATTACTGTTCCAAAGTTTGAGTGCTAAAGCAAAGTTAAAGAGAAAAAACAAATAAAAAAGAGACACTTTGAAAGCCCGGATAAAAAGCTGCTCATGAAGACGTCAGACTGGTTTTGGAGCAACGCCAAATAGAGTCCAGTTTTTTAGTCTCATTTTGTATTCTTATTCTCTTTTTCCTGCAGGTCCCCATTGAGAAAATCATTCCATTTGACATCACTTTGGAGAGCCCTAAACCGGATTACACCCCACCTCCAGTCATCCCAGAGACCTCCACCCCGAGTCCGGTCAGCGAGTCGTCCAGCGGTTACATGTCCACTAGCATCTCCACGGCAACGCTCTCGGACGTTTACACGCTGAGCTGGGACCTGCCGCCTCCGTCCAACTCCAGAGAAGAAGAGCAACTGGAGGAGGAGGAGGAGAGCCAGGAGGAGAGCCATCGCGAATACCTCTTGGATGACAAATCGCTTACAGAGGAGCTGGAAAAAGATTTGCAAAAGCGTCAACTGGATCAAGAAAAAACAAACGGCGATGTAGCTGAAATAGTTCAACGTGATGCTGAAGCTAGGAGCAAAGAAGAGGAAACGATTGATACTATTGCGCCTGGTGACGATGTAAAGCCGACCGATTTTATGGCAGAACAAAAGTCAAACGGACGTGAGTCTTCTGAAGAGTATTCTACCAACAAGGAGGAGATGGAAGCTACAACTTTGCACAACGGATCCACATCCGTTCAAGCAAGCAGCAACGAACAAACAGAAGAAGACGATTCAGAAACCCTACCTCAAAATGACCACTTTTTGATGGAAGAGTTGTCAAATCAATCTCAAACACTGAGTGCCAACGGGCCAGCTTCAAGTTTATCTGACGAAATCACACCGCCAAATCTCGCCTCCACTCAAATTGACACTTCATTAAAGTCAGATGGCGACAGTGCAGACGTGGTCAATTCAGCAACAGAGTTTGTGGATATAGTTCAACCAGGGGAGCCCATTAAATCAGCTGTAGATTTGGATGGACAAGTTCAGGACATCCCGAAATGTGAAGAAGTCCAACCGTTTCCAAACTTGGAGTTGGACAATGCAGAGTCTGTAGCTCCTGTTACGACAATAGTAGAGGGAGAAGCAACGTTGAGGCTTGCAAATGATTCCTCTTTAGCTGTTGCTGCAGAAAGTGAAGCCAAATTATCCGAGAAATTGCCACACTTAGAGACGGTCTGTTCAGTAGAAGCTCTTGCACAGTCTTCAAGCTCAGCATCAGAAAAGTTATCAAGTGGGACAAGTCAAACCGTTGAAATCTGGCCTGAAAGTTGTACACCTGCAGTAGAGCAGGCGTCGTCCAAACCACCAGCAGCCAGCCCGTTCAAGATAACAAAAAAGGTCAAGTCCTCAGACCTGAAGTCCTTCCAGCCAATTGTGGGCAAAGAGGAGTCATCCACAGAGGGGTCCGGCGCTCCCAGCATGCACCTCTCTGTCCCTACGGAGACGCTGGAGATTATTTCAGACTCTGAGGAAGGAGAGGCCAACGCCGTTTTGCCCGACTGGTTGAAGGTGGGAGAGTTTGTGACCTTCGGGGCAAACAAGTACGGAACCGTGCGCTACGTGGGGCCGACCGACTTCGCCCAAGGAACCTGGGTCGGCGTGGAGCTCGAGGTTCCGGCAGGTGGGTGTCACAGAATTGGTGAATTTATAATGTGATAACAGGAAGATGGAATTAACTTGCTAAATGTAGACGCTCAGATTGTTGATACTAATTTAACCCATTTAAACCCTTCAAGTAAATGTGTTTTTCGCCTGAAATCACAGCCACGCTCTGGGGCTGTTGTACTCTTTTTGGCTGTTTTAGTCACTCAGCAGAAATGAAAAGGTGGAGTGAGTGGACTTACTTCTTATTCAGCTGTAAATTCTGTGAACAAGAAGGTGACACCATCTTTTCACATGTGTTTTAAAAGCTGACATATTGTGCCTGTGCCATGCCTTATTAGAGACATACATACTCTAGCTGATGATTACGTTCAATAATGGAATACCTTTTATAAGTAGACAATTGCAGAGTCAAAATTGGTTTGACTCCCATCCAGGCGTCTTTGTCAGATGGTCTGAAAATAATTGAAGCTCAGTCCTAACTACTGCCTAAAGAGTTGTAAACTTAGAAGTAACCTGGCATTTCTTTAAAATGGACCTCTGCAAATTGGTATCACAAATGAACAGCAGTGTCTCTAAGTAAGCCATTGAAAATTAGATTGTTGGTGCAACTCTAGCAATCTTTTTTTTTTTTAAATGGTTGTAAAGACAAGTATTTAGCATTAAAGGTGGACTTGTGCTAATATCCCAAAAACAAGAAAACAAAGGTATGATCCTAAACTCCCCAGGATGGTTAAATATATTTGGCAGTGGCGATCTGTTGATAATGACATCCAAACGTTCCCAAACTGCATGCTGATGACCACTGTTGTAACCTTCCCGTTTTCTTCTGACAGGTAAGAACGACGGCTCCGTGGGCGGTAAGCACTACTTCCACTGTAACCCTGGCTACGGGGTGTTGGTGCGTCCCAGCAGAGTGACCCGCGCCTCAGGGACCAGCAGCAGAAAACGCAGACAGCAAAAGCGACGCAGTGCGAACCTGTCCGGCTCCAGCCCAAACCTGGCGGCCCTCACCGCACTCGCCAAGGGGGAGGGGTCAGGGAGCGGGGCTACGGGCCGGGGGAAAGGGGAAAACCGGAAGTCGTGGAACACATAGGCGCGTATGTTTTTTTAATTAACGGGTGGTTAATTCACTGGACAGCTGATTTTGTGGAGATTTTTTAGAATGGTTAAGAATGTTCCCCCCCCCTTTTTGTCAGTGAAATACGTTTAACTTCAAATAGACAGGCAGAAGGATTTAAAACGAGATTGTCCCACTTGAGAGAATTGTGAAATGATGCTATCGAATCCCCAAAATCTTCTACACTCTGGTTTAGAAAAGGGTTTTATCTTCTTGCCCTTGACTGCAGTTTTTCCAGCAAGATCATTTAAACACATTATGATGGATCGATATTCGAACTCTGCATCACGTGATTGTTAACAAGGAAAATATAAGCGCTGTAGGTTGAACTTGTTTTCTGACTTTACCTCTGTGCCTTTTAAAATGGCAAAGTGTGCATCTTTAATGAATGTTTTTAAAGGGCTAACTGTGCCATCTTTTTAAAACTTGGTCTGCACTTTTGCTTGTGATAAGTCCACTGGATTGATTGTGTTAAAGCTGTGTGCGGGAGGATGAGGGACTCTATAAAATGATGCGTTTAATACTTTTGTTTGTGTGGAAGAGATTTTTTATAGATTTTCGTCCTTTTGAATGTAGAGATGTTTATTTATTTGATGAATATTGTTCCTAATAAAACAAATTGAAGAAGCTGGCTATTTTTTCTGCTTTACACACAAGTCTTGCCATAATAATGCTGCCACCTTCTTTACATTAAAACTATCTAAAAAATAAAAATATGGTGACTGATTTTGTCTGAATGTAAAAACAATTGGAAAGAAAATGTATATGCACATACAAGTAGGGCGAGGGATTAACAGAGACTATAAAACTAAACTTGAGAGCTGGAGCAGTTTCTCAACAAACGTAGTCGACATGGCATGTTCGCAGACTCCAGTTTGATCAAAGATGACAGCATGACGGTTTGAATAAGCCTTTGGTCACCATATTTCAGCATTTCTTTGAAAATGGTTTAAAAAGCAGAATAAACAAACTACTGAAGCCCCAAGAAGCGTATCTTAAAAATAATTCCTGGATCCAGACCATAAACTGTATAAATCAATAGTGCATCTGCAAAAACAGTGACATGGGCATAGAATTTGCCATTTACCAAGTCATTTTGTGAGAAAAGTGCCAAACTGTTGTGTCCTGACACACACATTGCCTAGAAAAAGTCTGAATGGCAAGTGGTGGTCAGAGTCTGAATGGCAAGTGGTGGCACATACTGGTTGCCTTGCTTCTATCAGTGTGTCCCAGGGCAGATGCGGCAACAGTAGTTTATTATCCCCCAAAAATTGCTATATAAAACCAACGCAGTATTATTTAGTACCAAAATAAAGTCTCATCCCTCCTTGAGCAATACTTTCAATGACAATCCATGTTAAAGATTGTAATTCAAGGAAATTTCAAAATGTTTTAACGTAAATTTGATTATTGTCCCATTCCATTTACTGAAAATATAATAACCTGCCCATAACTTTTTGAATTCGGTTGGCAGAGATAATCATTATTTAACAGATCCACAACACTAGTGTCCTTCTGAATTGTGTTGAAGATGCAGACTGTAATTGTTCTGAAACTCGTTGCCATAGTTCCCAACCCTTACGATTAGTACAGTATTTACATTATTTATGATGTATGATGATTTTACAGTAAATACCCTGGATTAGAAGCCCAGCTTTAAATGCCATACTGTGGAACATTCCAGGCAAAACATTTGAATGAGCACAAGTAATTTACAACCTGAGATTACAACAATCTCACGCCTCACACGTGTTTGATATATCTTTATTTTCTTGTACATTTTATATATACTAAAAGAAACATAAGGTAAAAATGAACAAATAAACTGTACAAAAAATGTATATATACTACATCTTAATTACAGAACAGTCTACTGTCCAAAAAAGGCACTAAATTCTGAAATGGGCAATTACAGTAACCAAGAACTTAAAAATAGTTACGACAGTCAGTCCTGTGTCTGCAGTGGGTTCGAAATGTGAAGAGTGGACATGACAAGACGCCCCCTATTGAGCACACACAATCATTACAACACGTGAGGCCAACCCCTTTTCTGTTCAAACCACGTACTTGCTGCTGGATTCTACATTTATAATTCCTAATAGTCTAACAAAGGCATTTCAAAGTGTCTTTTGTTTTGTAATCTCTTTATGCACTTTTCCACACGTTTGTCCGTTCTACATTGTCTATCATGAAGTCACACCAAACTCGGTAAAAGTTTATCTGTTGATTGTGATTTATAAAGAGAATTCGAAGATCAAAGTACATACCAAAATATTCAGAAAAAAATAGACTGAGAAAATTGGTAGTTCTCCCACAAATAATCTAAAAGAATAATTTGACTAATATAATTCTTGGACTGCTTTTCCAAAATAAAATATAACGTCTTCACCTACTTTGGTCTTAAGCCATAAGGCTTTTTATCATTACATACTTTATTACTTACTTTATTCTTCATGAGGTTAGTTGAATATTTTTGTCAGCCTTAACAAGCAGCGTTAAACATGGTGATGGGTGATATTACAATGGTTGCTATGGGTTACTGTCCTTTTAAAGAGTTTGGTGTGGCATAGGAAAAATGTTTGGATTATGAATCATGACATTAAAACGGTTAGGGGTTCATTCAAGCTTTAGTTCTCATAAGGTGCATATCGTCATTCTTCTTTTTTTTTTTTACAAATAGCTTACCAATACTAGACAGGGGAGACTACTGTTCAGTCAAATAGGTTTAAAGTAATACAAAAGAATGGAAAATGTAAAAGAAAAACTAGTGATTAATTTAACATTAAAAGCATGACTCATTTCTAAACATGTCATTCTTTTTTGTACATCACAATAAAATGAGTATAGATACACGTTTTAACATTTCACCCTTTCCTTTCAAACACAGGTCCTGTGGTGAGCTGTTGGAGCTTGTTCGAGCTAACCCGTTTGGTAGTCAGGGATTTGAGGATACTTAGATACTTTAACATACTTTATAGCATACTATACTGCGGATCCTGAAAAGATACATTTATGTGACAGATGAGGCAACAGAGACTGTAGCTTGGCACTGTATTTGACACCTCTCTTAGCTCACCACTTGAGGAAATAAAAAGTGGGAAATGCCAACATAGCTTAGCGTCTGACAGCAGGGCCAACAGCTCTGAGCTGGTGCCACCGGTCAGACTCGACCAACATCTGCGTGAGCTCATCTTTAACATACAGACCTGGTCTTTGAGACCAACACATTTATAACACGTGCCCTTAAGCCACGGCCTCAGTCCGGGACTGAAAGTGCTCATACTTCACAAGTGGAACAGTAACAGCCTGGCCGCTCACACAGCCCACTTACTGTATCAGCGTCTCAACAGTATAAAAGATCGGCAGAATAAATATGTGGCTGCTAAACGTCTAAGTGCGACTCAGGCCTGCTGTAGAACACACCAAAGGAGCTGGGCTCTTAAGACTGTCGCTACGGTCTTCCCTTTGGCATGAACAGCACGAAGCAAAGCACTGCCCCATCCTTATACAACTTATATGAGCTTGATTATCACATTGACCCTAAAGTTGATTTCAAAATACTTTACAATAGTTTAACTGGGAAGCTAAATACCAAGGCAAAATGATTGTACGTCCAATCCCCGTCTGGATTCAGTGAAAGCTGAAACCACAGTTTTCTCTTTTACAGTAAAGTCATTGCACGTTTGGGTTCTGTGAGGTTATTGTAGTTTAGATTCAGTCAGCCACAGTTTCACTTTTGAACCCCGATTCTTCCAGTGTGGAGTGATGAGGGCGGGTTTGAGGTGACAGCAGAGTAGGTAGGTCGTTGTACGAGAGTGACACTGAGATCCGTAGTTATTGGTAATATTTACAGTACAGCTATTTCTGAGGTCTACTGAGGTGTTCTGAGGACTGGCTCAGACTGAGGGAGAAGAGGTATCCGGTGAGTCAGAGAGGACAAGCATGCTTCACTCCTTGGCTTTTTTAAGGGTACGTCCACACAAATGCACTTTCATCTCATGTAATCTATTCAGTAAAGAAACATTCAACAACTTTGATCACTCTGGGTGGATTTCATTACTTTTGATTGTCTAAAAGTTAGTATTAAGTGACAAAAACATCACCTATGATAAGTTTTAAAAGTTCAGTGCAAGGATATTTGCACTGAATATGACTAAATCACTAAATATACACTTGGGGTTGTTGCTTCCCTTTTACATACCATTTATATTTTATAGAAACAAATAATTAAGTTTTGAAGGTTGTTTCACACCTACTTTGGTGTATGAGTCCACTCAATAATACATTTGTTCACAATTAAGCAACTGTACAAAATCAAATCACAGTGAAAAGTTACCAGTTTCTACTGAGAGGAAGTGTGAAAACCAGGAGGAGGAGGAGGCTAGGCCACACTTCCATCAGGAAGCCAAGAAAGCCATGGAGGCGACGTGATTAAAAGGAGAGACTGACAAACCAGATGGTCTGATCGACGGAACCACCATGGCACTTACTGTACAACAGCAGTATTAATGAATATGAAGAAACTGTTCGGCCAAAGCCACACAGCAGATTCATGTGACCAATATGATCAAAATAAACCATTATCTGATATGTTGATCAGGGCTGCAATGATTATTGTGACTAAAAGTCTGCACAGACTATATGGACTGGAGAACACTAAATCCTTAATCAAACTAGAAGCATACGTCCCCATGCAATATAGTTAAAGATGCATTTAACATAACAGCAGTAAAGTTTCTCAAGCCAATTCAACAAAAAAAGGGCTACTCAACTGTCCAAATACTTAGTTACTGTCTAATGCCGATTTCATTTCTGCTGACTGGTTACGTATAGTTTTTTCATGATTTAGTGGTTAGAGCTTTTGCATCACAGCAGAAGGGTCCTGGGTTTGGGACCTTTGTGTGAGGAGTTTGCATGGTTCTAAGTTTTCCCCTACCACTACAAACCAGCACAGGACTTCCCCGCTTAAATAAAGATGAACAAAAAAATGCATTAGCGTGGACGTAGCCTGCCGCAGATCCAGACCAGTCTCGGTCGGATCGTTCCTGGAGACCCAGAGCGGGTGCAGACGGAGGTATCGTGGGTGAGGAGTAGAGTTGATTTCTTTCCCTGTGGTGATGTCGTGACTGGAGATATGAGTGTTTACATGGCGGCTGTGGGGCTATATGTTTTTTTGTTTTTTGTTTTTTTTTACTAAGAGCAAAAGTCTTTGAGCCCCGCTTTGTCCTGAGCTGCTCATTCGTCATCCAGCGCTTCAGTCTTGATCTCGCCGGGCACTCCGGTTCGGGACAGGGCCAGGATCGTGTGGTTCACTGCAGCCATCTCCACAGCCAGAGAGATGGGGTCCTGGTGCTCTGTGTGCGCCGCGTTCTCTTCCTGAAAACAAACAGAAAAAAAACAGAAAAAATGATCAAGATGACAGAGTTTTCAGAACGCTTCTCCAGATTTGTGAATTTCAGAATTTACAATGACCATCGTTTAGGGAGGACCAAAAAATGACTTCATTACAAATGAATAAATATGCAAAATCCCAAATGAATGCATGAATAAAAGAGGGAATCTCAAAATACTTTAAATAAATAAATGAAATAATGAAAGCATTATTAATTACATTCTTCTTGTATTCATTCATTTTTAACTATGCTGTTACTAGTTCTCCATAATCGTTCATCCCTGATGTTCTGCAATGTACAGAAACAAGTCTCATTCGAAGTACGTGTGGATATTACAACAGGCAGGCATGTTCACATTGAAATTGATCAATCGCAAGGACTTTTTGCACATATTTTTGATAAATGAGGGCCAGTAGGTTTTATGTGACAGGGGGAGCTAAATAATGAACGGAGGCAGCAAAACGTTGAGGCACAAATTCAATTAACTATTAAAAATGTTGTGTCTATATAATTTAGTGTCTTTTTAGAGAGCGAGAGTTTGTACCTGTGTTGGAGAAGTGGGCTCCAGTCGGTAAATACCAAACGGTCGCCCCAAAGGTTTCTTGTCGAAGTATGGCAGGTCACAGGCCTAAACACAAACAGAGCACATTACTTATGCTTTCAACTGTTGCCTATAAGTGTATTTTATAAGTGATTATTAATACCATTTATTATACAGACAAAAATGATGCCATAAGCACAAATGCACAAATGTAGAAAGAGCTGCACTGACGTGTTCGGAGAAGTCGTTCCCGTCGATGTCGTCACAGTTGGAGTGGCCACCTGGACTCTGGACATCGATCCCATGACTCTCCAGGATTGTGGCTTCTTGGAGAAACAGAATCCATTCTTAGATCTAGTAAGAGCTGCAATGCAACTACACAAATATTGATGGAGTTGTTGTTAAAGATAATTCTAATTGGTTAACATCCCGACAGACAGGGTCCCAAACCATCTGTATTGTGTTAAATAAGCTATGCCCAATTTGTTTTCTAAGTAGTTCACTAAAAAGCTAGGCACTGAAAGCTCGTTGTACTTGCGGAGTAATGTTTGTATTTTACACACCTGTTACAAACAGAGATTGCATTGCCAAAGGGCAGCGGTCATTATTGGTTTGAGAGCTCTGTTATCAAGAAAAAAATGATCGGTAGATCGTTTTGAAATTACATTCAAATCAATGGAGTGTTCCGCTGCTGTGAGGAGCTGTATAAAAAATTATAATTAAATATTCAAATATATTCTGATTTCAAATTAATACATTCGGACACAAAACTAGCGGTATTCTTTTACTTATATATTGTTTTAGCTAATGCTAATGTTAGCATACGTATCAGATCGCAAATTTAATGTTACAACTAGATGGCTCCGTGGGATGAGAGCGTAGGGAAATGAGAAGCCTGTGAGCGAGTTGGGGGCGGTGCTAATCATTGCAGAAACAGGTATAGCTCCTTCAAACAATAACTTCTAAATGAATGAGGTTACTGGCCTGGTTGTGCATGTCCCTGATTTTATGATTGTTCTTTTGATGCTGGTCTTTGTATCAAATGGTCCTTGATGTCTTGTACATACAATTATATGTCAAAAATGAAACATTAGTACAATAATGAAAATGTTACCAGTTTGTGTGTGTAGGATACATGTGTGTGCATGGTTTTATTGCACACATATGTATCCACATGGCCAAAATGTATTTATATATATATATATATATATTTATTTTAAAGTATTACTGAGTAGAAGAGCAAAGTAGCATTACCAATGTTGGCACGCCTCTTGATCTCTTTGCGGCGGTTGGCAAACCAGTTGTAAACCTTTAAGGAAGTGACCCTCTCCAGATCAGACAACTTCTTCCCTAAAAAACAAAGAATGAAACAATGCAAACAATTAATTGAATCCCATTAATTTAAGCGATGATGTAGTCATGTCAAGCATATACAGGTTTTTCTTGTATTTCACATAGGACCAATGTTTACAGTTTACATACCATCATACTATCTATGATGAGGTGCGTTTAGGCTACAACAAGACTATGCAACCAGCGGTGGGGGATTTGAATCAACAAATCAGAGAGCAGCACCACTGACACAGCACGTCAAGATGAGGGAAGAAAACACTCCCAAAATTGTTATCCAAAATCAAAACCAGGACCTAAAATTAGGAAATGGTGATCCTTATCATCCTTTCATCCTCAGCAGTCTCTATTTTAGCAGCTTGTTGGAAGATCATGAGGGGATACAAGTGTCTGGTAACCCCAGCATAAATAAGTTCGGAAAAGCAGTCTAGGGGAAGAGTTCTCGTTTGTAGTTATGAGGAAAAACTTGGATAAGTCCTTCCATGTGCAATTTAGGCTTAACACAATCAGTTTTTGATATTCGGTAATCTATGCCATCACCTATACCCGTCTATTTTTTCTCACATGCAAAAATTCTACACAATATATGAACATGATCATGTTAATTAAAAACATCAGCTTGTCAGCTGAGTACATCTTGTACCTGGTTTCTGGATGACCGCGTTGCAGGCGTTTGCGATCTCCTCCCTCTTGGCCTCGTCTGGATACTGGTTGTCATTGAAGTAGCTATAAATATCAACAGAGCAACACACTTTTAATCAAACACTGCGTCCTAAAAATGCGGCCAAACGTACCGTTGTTTTCCTAGGGCGTCTTAAGCATGTCAAGTACCATCTCAGCAGTATTAAGAGTAAAGCAAATTAGATTTAAATCAGGACTTTTCCAGAAAATTGAAGGACGTATCCAAGGATGTTACATAGTTTACAGAGATTTATTCTTTGGTAAATTTACATATTAGTTTTACATCACTATGAGGCCCTACTATCAATATGAAAACAAGACAATGATCAGTCTTAATAAAAAGGTGGTCAAAAAAATATATAGAATAAAAAGTAAAATCTGTGTTATTTTAAGAGATACTCAAATCTCCGCAGTGGCATCACAAGGCCTTCGCTCACCTCTCCATGACGGCCAGACACTCTTTCCTCCAGGTGAAGCGGCTCCCTCTGCGCATACGGAAGGTTCCAGGGCCCATGGAGAGGGGGGGCGGGGTCTGTCTCCACTCCATGTCCTCCAGGGCCAGAGCAGGACGCATGTTCAGGGTGGCTCCTGGAAACACAACAGATTCACCCGATATAATCTTTATATAATGAAATGCTCATGTGACCGTACCAATGGCGATACTATTATTGATAACAACACTGCAAAAACAGACATTATATAGTTTCTTAAATCTCGAGTTCCTAACTTTGAAACCACAACATTTGCTACTATGTAATAAAATCCATCTAACTTGCTCCTTCAAATCAATCACATTTTATTATATAGATCCCATTACAACACTCAAGGCGAGCAAAGTTCTTAATAAACCTAATAATTCATGCAATAAAAGAATAATAAAAAAAAGTTTAAAAGCATTTAAAAAGTGCCATTGAGCTAATGAGTGTTAAAAGCCAGTCTGAATAAATGAATTTTGAGCTTCACATTAAAAAGACCAAAATCAGTAAGCACTGAAAGGTTTGGTTCTGTCATTAGGCCAAAAATACATGCATCTGAAAACTGTGTCCCATCTTTAGATCAGCATCTTCAGACAGAAAAGTGGAAAGAAAGCACCACCTCCCTCACTCAGCATTCAGCCCAAAGCGTAAAACATGTATTATTTTAAACGTGTTCACAAAATGGAAGTATCCACACAAAAAATGCTATTGGGACATCCACAATGGAATAACAAACTTGGTAAACCTTGTGATTAAAAGCTGGAGTATCTAACTGTTATTGTGACAACCCTAACAAGTAGATCATTAGACATTTTGTTTGTTTGTAACTGCAGTCCTCAAATGTAAAAGCATCAGAAAAGTGGAATAAGAGTATTAAGAACAGAGTGAGGCCTACGCACAGAGATGCAGAGAAGTTGCTGACACACGCAAACAGCTGCAGATGGGTGCTTTATTGAAAAGGCTTCCGATGTGTGATTTTTCCATTCTGAACACAAAGATGAAATTAACAAATGTACTGACTGTGCAGAAGCTTGTCCCTGCAGGAAGAGTTTATGCGAGAAATGCGTGTCACTTCTTGCAGATCTCACAATATATTCTGATTACAAACTTAGTGCTGACAAGGACTCTCTCTGCTCTTCTTAAATCATGGACGCAGCAAAAGAAGGAGCCACACCTGCGTCTGCGTCCTGTTTTATGTGCTCTATAGTCACAGGAACAATATACCAAAATGTCTTCATAAATTATTCTTCCGTACAACTACCTGCTATTCTATGCCATTCATTCTGCTAAAGTATACAGATTACTCATGGACCACATGCTTATTTTCATCTTGTATTTGATATATAGTCTATATTGTGACAGTATTTGTGAACATTTTGTATTATGCAGTATGTATTGAGAAAGCATTCAAATGTCTCACATGTGCTGTTAGATACGATAACTGTTATTTGTACCACAGTGAGGAAATGTTGGTGTTTCAGAACACATACAGGACAATAGTAACAGTAAGTAGCACACAAAATATACAAAGACAAGAAGCTGTAAATGCTTATAAAATCTGGCTTTTAGGACCTAAGTATATAGGTGATACACTGTACATTTTATTTGTACCTTAGCAGGCACACATGAGCAAATAAAATGTAAGAGGAATTTCAATCAAATAACTACCTTGATTGAATTACGGCTGGGGAAAAAAAAAAAAAAAAAAAAAATCACTTTGTTGTATGGCAATTATGTTTTAACCGGTTCTTGTGGGACCTTGAAGCAGCCACTCCACATATCACACGCCAACACAATTTTCCATCTTCAAGGAATGATAAAGACGTTATGTTTATATGAAGGCTGATCAAATCAAAAATCTTTTTGCAAAAAATAGATGGCATACCGTATGAATCACACGATGATTAGAAACACAGAAAACCCAAAATATTGAGGGGTCTGTCCAGTTAGTTCAAGCCTATAACTTTCTGCATTTCTTCAAAACTGGATGTTTACTTAATAAAATGCATCAAAACTGCCATTACATGTAAAGATAACGAGCAATTTATAGTACTGGATTTTCATGATATTTATTGTGTAGCTTAAAATTAAGGATTTATTTGTAGTTTGGTCACTTGGTTTTGCTGAGACAACACATGGCCAAGACGTCTGCGGTCTATCTCACAAACCACCAGAGGTTTTCCTGCGTTAGCACATTTATGAATATATACTAGGCTTTCTATCATTAGATCACATGTTTTTTTTTACTTTTTCTCTCAAGTAATGTTGTTACTGCTGAAAGGAAATCGACTGCAGATGACATCGAAGACAAAAAGACCTGAACATTTCAAAAGGCAATAAACAGCACTTTTTTGTTATTTCTAAATAGATCCGTCTCAGTCGGATGGTTGCGACGTATCTACATATACATTTCTTTTTTCAATCGCAGGCGGACTAAACAAAAACATTCTCTGCATTCTCCATTATGAAGTGTATGCCGTTATTGTAGAATTACGGCTGCTCATTTTTAAATGGCGCCTCAGCCTCATAGTAATTTTACATCTGTTGTCATGGCAACAATAAAGGGCAATGTAGTTTTAAGGGCAGAAAAGTGTTTCTTCACAAAAAGGTTTAGATTATGAATACCAATTGGGTGCAGCAGACTTCATTTCTTCAAACCACACACAGCAGACAGCTCCAACACAAAGCTAACAGTGCCATTCCCAATCAAGGTTTTACAAATTGGACTACAGAATTAGAATACTATATCCTACATGAGAGGGGAAAAAAGCAGTTTTAGTCATTTTTTTATTATTATTGTTGTATTATTTTTTATATATATTGTTGGGTAATTAAGACAATCTTTTTCGCTATTTTCACTCTTTATTTAAAAAACTATGCAGTGAAAAGGTAGCTAAAATAAATCTTGGTTGTTGCAAATCCGGGCATGCTTCTAGACGGAGATAAAATAAGAGCAAGATTCACGACTAAATGTGCACTTGCCTTTGGGGGAAAAAAATCTCCAAATCAAGCATTTTAAGCCACGCAGCTGCACAATTATCTGTGTGAAAAAGTGCAAGTGTCCAGCCACAAGAGGGCAGCACCTAAAGAAGAGCCAAGGTGAGGAGAGTTTCACTGTTTTGTAGACTTTAGCAATGGTAAAACACAGGGCACCAACACTTTCTAAACCAAACATTCAAAAACATATTTCCACAGGATCATTTTGAGGGTTGTGGAGACCTCCCCAGTGTTTATCAATGCCATACTGGCTGGGATATGTGCATTTACTTTCCAAAGGAGTTGAAAGGATTTACCTTTTACCCCTCACTGTTTAAAATAACCAAAACATACTGCCAGAAATGGCTGTACATTCAAAAACCTGAATGGAAATCAGGCATTTGCACAACTTTACAGAACTTGCAATTGTTCTTGCCAAAAAAAAAAAAAAAAGTATAACTTGATCAAATTAACAATTTAGATGACCAAACCAGAAATAACACGTAACGTGACATACAGTATGTTAAAGAAGGACGTTCCTGAATTTCAGGAAAGAACCGCCCTCTCCAGAGGGAACACTTACTAAAACGCATAACCAGAATGACTGACAATTAGGAGGACCAATAGTCTAGACTCTAGATGATCCACCCGGAAATCCTCCTTTATACCTGTGTGTGTGTTAATATTAACAACAATACAAAAAATAAATAAATTATAATATCATAATTTATCATAATCTTTCATAATCTTTGATTGAAGTTCTTGCAAAATTAGATGAAAAAACTGCTTTTTAAACTCCACTTCACATTACTGATTCTTCATTTTAGACTATGATCTCATACATCACTAATAGCTCCAGGGTGATTAGCTACTTAATAAGCCAATCATTAGGGGGTGAGTGCTCCAGCGGGAGGTTTTGTTACATCGGGGCAGGGACAAAAACTCCTTTCACTGTCGAACATATGCTCTCCCATGTATCCGAATCCCATCACTCCTAATTACCAGTCTGTCAGAAGTAGCAGGTAGACGGGTGTGTGCTATCCTATTTTTAAGAGATCTAAACATCTATTTTTACTGACGGTTGAGCTCCTTCTCCTAAGGCTTTTAAAGTATAGCAGTCGAAGCTAACACAATAATAATGTGTTAAAGGCATTCCACTTAAAGCAAGCGCTAAATGTGAGACAAGAACCTAGACCTGGAGCTCTTTTGAAAGGATTGTGTTACTTCAATCATTTATTTCATGTTTTTTTATATTTTAACAAGTATAGAAAGACTTTAGGTTGCCCAACATATAAAATATGTAAGCAAGCTTCTTAACGGTATTTTGTTTTGCTATAGTTTTTGTTTTTTGTTGGAAGAAAGAGTTTACTTAGAATAAAGCACAGCAGTGGGAAACTGAAATTTGAGTCCGACTCGAGACTTGCTCCTGGAAAGCGAGTGAGTTTTTTTGACCGGACTATAGCCCCGTCATTCTAACCCTAACCCTTAATTTGGACCCTTGCCCTAGGATTTGCACATGCCCACAGGTGGTGGAGGGTGTCCCAACACTCACACCTTTAAAAATCCCCCTTGTGCGCAATTGAGCTCCGGAGCTCACTTGTGGGCAAGGGTGATCCCATGATGCATTAGGATAGGTACAGTAGCTGTAGGGCAAAGCTGCACCACAATTAAATAAAACAACAAGAAACACCCGGGCGCAAGTATGGGGTGAACATGTGGAAGCTTGGAAGCGTGCGCGAGTAATTTAGAGGGTTTTTTTTAAAGTGTGTGTCTTGGTGCCGTATGTGGTGACGTTAACTGAGGCGCTTCGGAGACATGGATACATGTTATTATTATAGATCCATGATGTAGATCAGAGCATCGCTTTCACAGGGTGCTTTGTCTGCGGCTGTACCCTTCTGTCTCAGTGTGCGTGCGTACGCGGGTGTGTGTGTCCATCTCTGTGTGTGTACGTGTGTGCATAAGTGTCTGTGTGTGTGTGCGTAAATGTGTTCTTCATATGAAATACAATTAAAAACGTCTCCCTTTAATAAATACTTTGTTTTATAAAGTCTATCTTATGTGTGGTGAAATCAGACACGTCGACGTCGATAATAACTGGATAGGGTATTACTAGCTTATAGCTACCCACCCATGGGCACAGGGGGCGCCCATGGTACTGCAGACTAAATTCACGAGTCACATAGAACTCGAGGTAAACTAAAACAGCTGGACCTCAGCTGAAAGAGAACCTACAGCTTTCATTAAGATCGGATTTTGTGGGGATTTTAGAGTCCCTTTTTATCCTGAACTTTTTTTATTCAGAAATCCTTCGGTTTTCTTTAAATCCACACTTTACTGACAAACTCTGCTCCTTTCCTTCCCGCTCTGACTCCACTCTACCACTGCTCTGATCAGCAGCGCTGATTGGTCAAAGCGCGGCCGAGCCCCTCCGTGCACGTGCATGAGAGCCACACACGCGTATTTGGCACAGCGCATCATGGGAGCCCATCCACTGCGCAGAACCGAGAGGGCCAGACGATGCCCAAATATAGGCGAGTTCCGCTAATCTTTCGGTCCTCCTGTATATCTCATGCGCTACTGAGCATAAGCCATTCATTTGAATAGAGCTCCATCTTGGATCACCGGGGTTTGGGCTGTCAGTGCCGCCCATTGTATGGCACTGAAGTCCCTTTTGCAGACTGTGCAGCATCCACGTTTCTCGGCCGTACCAAAACTTTGCTGACATTAACACGTTAGGTTGGAAATGATAAGTACAGAGACACGGACGTACACACCGTCACTGCAAAGCGCAGAAATTCTTTGGTGACGCGCGTGCGCAAGATAAAACGGGAGCAACATTTTCATGGAGATGGAGTCTAAATTAATTTTTTTAAAGTACTGAATGCCATTTCCCTTAGCCTAAAGTCCTGATGTTTTATTAAAACACTGTTCGAGTTTGAGAAAATCAAGCATTTTCAAGCTCACTGTTAAAAATTCAAGCACATGCCAGACCTTCAAAACACGTTATAGAAATTCAAGAATTTTTCCGACTTTAAAGGAAATGTACAAACCCTGTACTGTATGAGGTTGATTAACTTATTTTTTCATTACAGCAATTACTAGTCATACACATCAATGTAATCGGTCTTCAAAAGCATTGGATTGGGACTCAAGATCTGATCGAATTTGATGCGATTGGGATCGGATTGTTTAGTCAATACATGCTGTTGTAAGGGTCAAGTTATGCCAAGTCAAACACAGGGATGTGTTTGACTTGGCATGAATTGACTAAACATTAAATGGAAGTCACAGGTAAAGTCCAAGTCATAGTGACTTCCCCGGGCAAAGCACTAAGAAGCTTACAGTATCGTTCACAACCTGCTATAGTTTCCAAGAAAACAGTTTCAAAGCTCACAAACTTGACGTGAAAAGTTACTTACGTAAAATGTGTGCATGTACGCACACCTACACCTATAAATAAGGTCCCTAGACTTGTATGTGTTTGTAAAAAAACATACAAATATTGTCACATAATCACAGCTTGACCATAATGTCAGTGGATAAACAGAAGTGTTGTAGCTCTAATACCTGGTGTGGTTTTCTCAAGGATGTACCAGCGATAGAAGGCCCGCTTCTTCTGCTCACTCATGTCAGAGCCGTGCTGCAACAGCCAGTGAGAAATCCGGCTCTGACTGATGCCTGCACACACAACCACTAGTTAACTTCAGCCAATTATGACACATTTTTTGCCTTTTTGTTTAAATAGACATTATGTTTCAAAACCAACAAAGCCATAGTTTGTGAAGCAGCCTGTTCTTTTGTATTGTGAAACGATTGTAAATCGCCTTCATCTATCTCTGCTCACTGTCCTGACCTTGCGGTCATCTCTCATCCAAGTTATAACCCTGCTATATTTGGTATAAATCCATGTCACAAGCCCAGACAGAGCCCTGGTTTTTGCAGTGCACTGAATAATCATCATCTGATTAAAAACAAAATGTATGTAATACTTTCGGTCGGGGAAGGTTTAGAGACCTTCAGGGCCACGCATGACACTGACACTGACACGGCCCAAAAAGTGTAAGACTCACCTGTGACCTGTGCCACAACGGCCTGAGAGATTCTCCTGCTTCCCAAAAAGGCCTTGATCTCTTCCTTCACCAGACTGCTCTCCCTCCTGCACAAGAGAGGAAAGTCCTTTCAGCCAAGCATTTCAAAATGTCTTAATATTTCTAATTGACACGTCTTGGAGGCACGGTGGTTAGCTGCATGTGTAAGTGAAAATATCAAACACATATCATTTGCATGTTCTGGCTGTGTCTTCTGCATATGCTTGCCATATAGAGACATGTTCATTTTTGAAGAGCAGTAAATACAACCTTTCAAAACGATAAAAATAGCGGGCCTATTGTGCATGTACATTAGGCATGCACAATGTGCATGTACATTCCATAGAATGTGGTATGGGTGTGTGTGTTTTGTTTGTTTGAAGGTGTATTTGTTTTTGTTTTGTTTCTTGTGCCTTGTTGGTGTCTGTTGTCCTGTCCTTTCATGTATGGTTTTAAGTTGAAATAAAAAAAATAAAAACATAAAAAATAGCGGGCCTGTCAGATCAGAAATAATATGAAAAGGCACTCCCAAGTACTCTCCCTAAAATCACAACAGGCTCACACATTGATATACTAACGGACTAAGTTTGGGCTAGAAACACATGAAAATGAAATAGCAATTCATGTCAGACAATAAAACTAACATCAAATATAACCCTGAGTTTGAGTTGTAGTTTCAACCTATACATAGCTGTGATACATTTTCCTTTTATAGGCATATTGAATACATTCAACAAACATACTCCAATATCAGACCAAGGACATCTTTTCCAACAAAAATCAATGCTGCATATTCCCATCAGTAAACTAATCATTGCTCTAGTGCTTCAAAATTCTACCCCACCGCAGCTCTGTTTCTCTGCATTTTAATAGAAACATTTGTGTTGTTTCTGCTGAGGCGTAATCAGAGTAACACAAAAGCAAGGTCTTTCAGATCAGTCGTAATCATGCCTTTGTTATTTTCCTCATTTAAAGTAAAATGTAGCTCTGGTGTTCTCCTGTCTGGGCAGCGTTGTAAATAAAAAAAGCCCAGAACATGCAGAGACTTGCAGAAAAGGAGGGTGGCGCGTGAATACATAGTCACATAGTGTACCCACCCTGCTTTCTGGCACCACGCCGGCTCCACTCCCCTATACATCTATAATAACACGAGGAGGACAAACACAAACACACTTATTACAATCTCCTTCTTTTGCAGAGAGCTGGCAGACACCGCAGCTGTCACACGCAGAATGAAGACGCTTTTCTCAGCCAGAATACAAGGCATTTTTTCATGGAGCAACTATAGGCACCCTGACAATCCAATCTCACCAAGTCAATACAAGATGTAAATTAGAATCTTGGGTGCTGTTGCGATAAGAAACCTATGATTGTAAAATGGACGAGATTTGATGATGGTGATTGGCAAATGGCATAGTCTGAAGGAAGTCACGGTCACGTAGTGGCAAAATCAATACTTGAACCAAATTGCTGGCCTACAGATATTTAGATGTCTACTGTCCATTAAGACATGATATCTTAATTATAAGAAATAATGCATCAATAGTGGTGTATTGTTTTTTTAATGGAGCAGAGGGGTCAAAAGCCTTAAATTTGTACTGCTTTTTTTTGTATCGTTTGAATATAAATTGTATTGAATCGTATCAATTAAAAGCTCCCTGTTTGTGTATACATTTAGTGTTGCGTCATGCAATATATATCGTATCGTCAGACTCTAAAGTTTACCCAGCCAAATATCAAATGTATAACCACTGTGGGGCACTAGTACACAAACACAGGGCTAAAATAATCAATGCGTCACAACTTTTTTTTTTTTTTTGACATCCAGCATCAATATCCTCCTCGGCACTCTCATGCGGCACGGCTAAAATTAGAGCCTCAAAAGTGCTGCTTGTATCGACAATGGTGAATCAATGTAGCACAAGCGACTGAACAGGGACTGGCAGGAAGAGAGGGAAAGGACATAGGATTAGGAGCCTGCCGCGCTGCCGACATACCACAAGGAAATATGCACTTTACGGAGGACAAGAAGTGTCAAGGGCCCCGTGGGTTGGTTCTACGAGCCGGAGCGCCACGTCACGCCCCCGCCAGCTTCACAGAGGGCGACAGGCGGGAGCTGTACAAGGCGGCTGAGTGCTACTTAACTTTGTGCTCCATGAAAATCCAGGACAAGTGTTATAAAGACTAGGGCTAAACTGCACAAGAGGAAGTATGCCATGAGAAATGTTTAAGAAGTACTATTAACAACAGTAAATATTATTCTCCTTTAATAACAATTATTACGTAGTATCTTAATAAATCACATTCAAATCTTTTACAGGTGTCCCCAGGTAAATATATACAACTCATATTTGACCTTATTTGACCAAAAAGTAAAAAATAAAAGTATTTATTATTTCCATGCAAATTTTTTACCAATTCCAAGCAGAATATCCAATCACAGAGCACATCAGCTTTCATTCTCATGCTAGTAACCTCTCTGTATACATTTATACGCTGGAAAATTGCTGCAAGTCTCGAGTTGCTCTGAAACAATTCTAGTTTTGTGCTAGAACTGAGAAAAAAAAGCAAGAATTTTTATTTTTATTTGTATTGCTTTTTTCTGCCTGGGATATTGCTGCAGTGAAGTGTTAATGGTTTTGCACTAGTCCAGACCAGAGCAGAGAGGATTCACGGTCCGAACCAAGTGGATCAAGTGAAAATCCACTGGAGGAATGCTAACTTTTTGAAAAGTACTAATGAAGCATTTAGCATTTTACTTTGGACAAGAGTAGAGAAAATGGTCCTAACCAAGCGAATACTCCACCTTGTGACCTGTCCTGCTCCACCCAGCAGCCACTCCACATCTACTGCTGTAACCCGTCCTGCTCCACCCAGAGACTACTCCATCTCTGCTGCTGTGACCTGAAGGGCTGTTGCTGATTATTACTATTGTTAGCTTTTTAGAAAGATCAATTTTATTTATTTTTGCTGCTACTTGACACCTGAATTTCTCCTACAGGGATTAATTAAGTATCTATCTATTTATAAACACACAATTAAGATTATGGAAAAGAAACCAATGAGATGGCATCACCATAATATCATACAGAAGATGTTCTCAATTTTAAAATTAGCTTTTAAGATGCCTGAATAACTTTGTGTCACCTCTGTCCTCATGCTGAAACGCCAGTCTGCTCTCAGAGCCTCCACCAGAGCCTCTGTCAGTGGGGACTGTGTGCTCCCAAAGCTCAGAACATCTTTTGGACAATCCAGCTTCTCCTTTAGGGGGGTTAAACTGTGGAACTCTCCCCACAGGGCTAAAACTACAGACTCATGACCATCTTCAGCAGAGAGCTCAAACGGTGATTAAGATCCAGACAGACTTGTTCTCACGTGTAAATTATATTGTAATTCTTTAAGATGTATTTTAGCTTCTGTAATGTAAAAGCCCCTGTGGACAAGTGGTGAAAATTAGCACCTGTGCTATAACACTAACAGCAATGCATCTGGTTCGTCCAATGTTATCGTTATGCCCATAATAAATAAATAAATACAAATATATGTGTTGCTAGTTTGTTAAAAAATAGCACCAAAAAGTTTTGAAAAACGAAAGCAAGCAGCATTGCTAGCATAGCAGTGCATTTAGGTAATACATTGGCAATATACTGTAAAACATTCCAGGAGGCCAACCCCCCTGATACCCTACAGGATATTGTCACCCAGCTTAGACAACGAAGGAACTTGGTAATCACTGCGTTTGCAAACAGAACAGCATTCTAATGTTGATGGCACTCTGATTCAATGACAACAACAAAGGAGTTATCTGAAGGGTAACCTATCAATTCTAACAATTGAACCTTTTTTTCCCCCCTTATCAAAAAAGAATTTGTATAGTTTAGTAGGGCTGCACGATATATCAAAATAATATTGTTATCGATTTTAGCTTCTGTAATGTAAAAGCCCCTGTGGACAAGTGTTGAAAATTAGCACCTGTGCTATAACACTAACAGCAATGCATCTGGTTCGTCCAATGTTATTGTTATGCCCATATTAAATAAATCAATAAATAAATACAAATATATGTGTTGCTAGTTTGTTAAAAAATAGCACCACAAAGTTTTGAAAAACGAAAGCAAGCAGGTGCACATATTTGTATTAAAATGCTTTTTGTACAAAAACTGCAACATTAAGTGCTTTACAGTAGTAATGATCGACATGTGTCACACACGGGAAGATTCTGCCAACAAATGTGGGATTGTAATTGTGATGATTTTATTAGCCCACCCGTAAACAGGTCTAGATATAAGTCCTAAGAAACCCATTTGTCTCTGAATCACATTTGATTGAACATCAAAAGAAAAATGGAAGTGACACTGTCTGCAGAATACAAACCCTCCTCCTTCACCAGATGGGTCAACTCATATAAACTGTATCAACAATAGCACAAAGCGAGTTCCAGTCCTATGTTCCTATAGTATTATGCATTAACAACACATAGCACAGCAAAACACCAATTTTACACATTTTCAATCATTTCAAATCATTCATAATTTCTATTTTGAGTAGATTTTGTTTTAAATCTCTTTATTTTTTATAGCAGGCTATTCTATTCTACACGCCAGCTAGTATGGCGCTGAAGGCTTTTTCCTTAATCACAACTGTCACGAAAGACTCCATTAGAATGTCATGTGGTAGCTAGGAGGGGAAATCTTTAATTTGGGAGAGAACTGGGTAATCGATGTATGCAGGATTTACACATTAGAATATCTGAAAAACATATTGCAGGACATATAAACTACATTGTTAGAAGAAAAAACCTGTACACTCAAATGTTGATTTCCATTTTCTCCACAACATCCTGAACATGTCAAAGAAGTGCTGAGAAAGTGCAAATTATTTCACAGAAATTTTTTATGATTCTGTCATATAGTAGTAACTTGAAAATAAAATGGACAAATATAGTTTCAAGAATAGTTCTGTTTGGGAAATTACTTCAGACAGCCTTACACAAACACTTCACTCTAATGGGTTTGCAAATCTTGCAAATCTTTGCAAAATAGCAAACGATGAGATGCCCAATGATTCTATTTTCTCCCCCTCTTCCTGTCTCTGTACTGACCACGCGCAAATACAAATGTCAAAAGATTATGATTCCATCTGTATGCGCAAGTCTTCACAGTTCTTTCCTTAAGACATCGTATAATTTCCGACAGAACACTAACAATGTAATTAGCCATACTTTAACGAAACAATACAGCCTTTATGTTGAATATTCTGATGTCAAGTCACAGGATGTACATTTCCTTATGGCACGCACTGTGAAACGCATTCATCATCACTTGAGTCATGTGCTCCAAAATCAGTTTCTGTGCTATTTTCAGATTTTTATAGTGAACACTAGTTAAGCTCTGCAAGGATTTGGAATTATACCACAAGTGCATACACTTGAAGAACTTACAGTGGGACAGATTTTTGTAATCAAAAAGCGATTAGAATCACTTAGTATTACAGGTGAAAAAAAAATGTATTTACAATTTCAAAACCCATTTACGTCTATAATTTAACTTACAATGTGAAACTAATTAATGATACTCACGCAATGAGATGTATCAAAGCTTTATTTGTTACCATGTTAATAATTGGCTCTAAGCTTGAAAAAAAAAAAAAGAATATTTTCTAACTGTAAGCCATAATCTTCTACATTATAACAAACAAAGGCTCGAAAATTCACTTAATCGCAATCAAACATTAGATTCACATTGTAAGTTTAATTACAGAAAGAAAGTACAGTTTCACCTGTACTATCAATAGAAAAAGTATGAAAACATGAAATTATTCTGAAATTAGGTTGAAAAAAGCAGCCATTAAAGCCATCTTCCTGGAGGCAAGATAAGCTGATGACCTTTTTAACGCTTCCTTAGCAATAAAAAACACCTGTAATTGAATAAGCAAGACAAGTTTAACATACTGGGAAACATTACTCAATAGTGGTGGACACTTGAGCAGAAAAGTTTATATATGCACTTAAAAAAAAGTTAATAAGCCAAATCTCGGCTTATTAGTTTAGACTGACAGCTGTGTCCTTGTCAGTTTTTAGTCGTGTCATACTAATTCCATTGGCAGATGGGTCTTCTGTGACATGTACAAAGAATAGGCAATCTTTAAATGTTTGTATAACCTAGCCATGATGCTCTAAACTGATTTAAACGGTCTGCGTAGGTTTCCTCGTGTCCCCAGTTTCCCCTACCACTAAAAAAATCATGTACAATAGGTACTATCCTCCAGCTCGAATGCAGACCAAGCCGAGCATCAATAGAGAACACAACACACGCAGATGTAAAAAAGGAGTGAAAGCAGTTGACAATGGTTCCTTTTAAATGCCACAAAGACATTTCAACAGCAGCAAAGCCATTTTGACACACAAGTGCTCTCATTCCTCTGTGCTATTGGCTTCACGATATCATCTGCACAAAACCACAAATTACCATTTACATTTCATCTTGCCGTCACAGACACCGGTTTGAAGGTGCTCCTATATGTTACTATGGAAACAAAGACCCTACTTCTTGTTTTGCTGCGGGCAAAAGAAACTTTGAAACAAATGTAGTCGTTTCTAAGCTGCACACTTTGATGCATTATCAAACTAAAAAATGAGCCAAACACAGTGTTGCCGTATAAATTAAGTAAAACGAGGAAACAAATAATCTTTTTTTCCAAATTATTAATTTTTTGGTTTGCAATTGAGACTTAAGAAGAAAGTGAGACAAAGTGATCAAGGGGGTTTGATCCTGGAATGTTTTACAAAACAAAAATTCAAAACTTCATGGTGCATTTAGGTAATACATTGGCAATATACTGTAAAACATTCCAGGAGGCCAACCCCCCTGATACCCTACAGCAGTGTTTTTCAACCTTTTTTGAGCCAAGGCACACTTTTTTCACTGAAAAAATCTTGCGGCACACCTCCAGGAGAAAATGTAAAAATGTATACAGTACTAATGTAAAAAAATATATACTGTACATACTCTGTGTGATATATAAAGTATATCTTATCTTATAATGTATACAGTATACTCTGTAGCCTATATTCACAATATACAGTTATTCTCATCAAAATGCTTAAGTCCAGGCCTTGAAATTAAGCTTTATTTAATATTTCTTGATACAATTAACAAGAGTTTGGGAATAAAGTGGCACTAACTGTGTGGAAAAAAACTAAGAAAATCCACTCTCTGCCCAAATAGTCAAATAATAACTCACACAAAGAACATGCATTGTTAGTGCATGGGAAACATTTTGGTATCCGAGCTTTAAATTCAGGAGTTTTGGATGAGGGACACGGGAGGTCCTGAACGCGAGTCCATGGTTCTGTCCGGTCCGCATGTCTGTGGTTCTGTCCACTCGACTATGGTCTGCGCTCGGTACCCAGTTCGCGTTCGCGAGAGCTGTTGTACAAAAATCGTACATTTCATAGTTAAACCACTACAACGCGGCCACAGCTACCCCGGGGCAGAGCGGAGGATGTTAATCCTGTTCAGAAACGGCATAATTCATTTTCAAAAACGTCTCTATCACTTTCACTTCTCACTCGCCACAAAGCTCTTGTCTCGCTCCCTCCCACATTTGTTGGTCGCATCCAATTTTACCTTTCTCGCCACAATGCTGACCTGTTACAGCCAGTGGTCGCATCCAATTTTTCAGTTTCAAAATACTTAGCTATCTGCTGCCATCTACTGATTTGAAAAAGTATTACATGGTTACTCACAGTTCAAAACAAGTCACCGCTCGTCAACAGCGAATGCAGCTATTTTTAGACAAAGTAGACGAATTTCTCACGGCACACCAGACAATATCATACGGCACAGTGGTTGAAAAACACTGCCCTACAGGATATTGTCACCCAGCATAGACAACAAAGGAACTTGGTAATCACTGTGTTTGAAAACACAACTGCATTCTAATGTTGATGGCATTCTGATTCAATGGGTTAAAAGACAACAACAAAGGAGTTATCTGAAAGGTAACCTATCAATTCTAACAATTGAACCTTTTTTCCCCCCTTATCAAAAAAGAATTTGTATAGTTTAGTAGGGCTGCACGATATATCAAAATAATATTGTTATCGTGATATTGGTGTGTGCAATATCCATATCGAAAATATGGGCGTATGTATAAATATTTTTTTTATCATTCTTTTACTTTTCCCTTTATTAAAGACAACAAAAAAGACACATCACCAACCATACAACAAATACAACAAACAAAAAAGTATATCAATATGCATTTGAATGTCATTAATGTTTTTGTTATTAGTCTCTTGCGTTTTAATGCAGATTGCAAATTTAGGCGAAAGAAAAAAATATCGCAATAAAATTGTTATCGCAGAACTATATTGAATATCGCTCCAATTTCCAATATCGTGTAGCCCTATTAGAGACCCTTGCATGTTTTTTCAGGGGTGTACAATATACACAATATACAGCTGGGGTATCTAACAAAGAAACCAGGAGTCAGTCATCCCTGTGTGGAGTGAGAGACAAATGCTCAACAATTGTAAAGCACTTTGTGACTCTGTTCTGTGAAAGGCACAATATTATAAATAAAGATAACTTACTTACCTGTTTACTATTGAATTGTAAAAAGTAATTATTACATGTGTTGTCGCTTTTATTCAGTCTGCACTTTGTCTGATCTTAAATCGGTGTTCTGCAGCTGTGTGAAGCACTTTGTAGCTCTATTTTGAAAGGTGAAATGCAATTAAATTATTAGTATTAGTGCTCATAGTATTAATGTTAATACAGCATATTAGTTCACTATTATACTGAGATATTTATGTTAATTGTACATTAAATACAATACACATGAAATGTTACAATAATGTCTATCACTCTAGGACTTCACATTAGAGCAAGCATTAGGCCAAAGTAATTAGGCCAAGTAAAGTGAGCCAACCAAGGTTTTTGTTGAAGTTCTACGGGTATTCAAAGTAATGATGATAAATAAATACATATAAGTGTTCTTGACCGTACAAGGGTTTTCCCTAGAACCAGTAAGAAGAGCAGGGCCTTTGAAGTTTCTGTGTACATGAGCAGGCTTGACTGCGAAGATGTGCGGCCTTGTTTTGATTCATACCATTGTTTGAGATCAATATTCAAACAAATTTATTCGGATCCCCATTCAAGTGGTCGCGAGTCTGGTTTATGCAAATGTATATGGAGATTGCAAATGTTCAAGAGTATATCAAGAATATAGTAATGCTACAAAATAAAATAAAAAAATTAATTACAGCACTTAATTGTCATCAATACACAAGCTCAAGTAACTTTGGATTAGTAGAGTAAACATCAGTAAAAATAAATACACTCGACCTAATATATGACTCTAGGGCTGAAACAACTAATCAATTAATCGACGACTAATCGATTATTGAAATAGTCGACAACTATTTTAGTAATCGATTAATCGTTTTCTGGTTCACACGGACTCAAACAGAGCAAAAATGACATGAAAATGTAGTATTTTTTTAAAAAACCGACTTTGTTTTTATAATTTCATGAATATCTGTGTCTCATCCAATCAGATAGCAGAATTAGCACAAAGAGCCTGTTAAAACATTTACTTTAAGTTTACGCCATCAATACGTCCTCGAGTGTTGCCACTTTAGCTTTTTGTGATGAAAAAATATTTTTTTTCTACACAATTCACAGCCAAGCGATTACTCGATTAATCGTAAAAATAATTGATAGATGAATCGATTACAAAATAATCGTTAGTTGCAGCTCTATATGACTCCTATCAAATTTTGGTAGTTCAGTGGTCAAGAAGAAGGCCTAAAATGGCCTGAGAGACCTTATCGAAAAAAAGAGGAAAACAAACAACACACAAAGGCACAAACAGTCAAACTTGAGGGAGGAGCATCAACCACTATGCCATACACCAACATTCAAGCATAACAAAACAAAAAGAGGGCCTTCATTATAATCTTAAGACTTCAATTACTGACCTTACAAGCTCTTCCACCTTGTCATCGATGTCCAGGTCCTCCTCCGTTGGCTCAAACCCAAAGGCGCGGGCTGCAGCTGCACTGTTCACCGGGTATCGAGGCGGAGACAGTTTACCATTGGGTGTGGCGGCGAGACTGTCCCGCCCATTCTGTGCCAGTGCCACCAGTGACACGGGCGAAGGCAAGATGGCTGACGGTGGCGGCGGGCCTGGAGGAGGGGATGTGTCATAGCTGTTGCTGGGAGACGGAGAATGCGCCCCACTGTTTGCGTACTGTGTTTGCGTGGAGGAGGAGATTTTGGCGGAGGTCGAGAGGTCAGCGGCAGTAGCTTCACTGGTGCTGGTGCCGTTACACGCAGATGAGGCAGACGAGGCAGTGTTGTTGAACGCTGTGGCGCTGTTGGAGGCAGAGATACTGGTGCAGTTGGCCCCACCCACAACACCATATAAGGAGGAGGAGGAAGAGGAGGATGAGGTCCGGCGGCCAAACTTGTCCCCGTGTTCCCGGTCCAGCCGGTCCAGAGTGTCCAGCGCGTGAAGTATCTCCTGCTTGGTCATCCCCGAGCGACGCAAGCGCTGCAGCAAATCTATCTGTTCAATAGTAAAGCGGGGCTCCTCGCTCAACTCAGTCATCCTGCTGCAGGGCATAAGACACAACTCACTGTCAGAGGCAGGAAGGAAACAGGAAATACAGGAAGTTAGAGAGAAGTGGAGGAAAGTCAAACTCAAGGAGAGGGAGGAAAAAGTGCAATCAGGAGCAAAGAGCAGAGAGGAAGAGAAGAGAGAGAGGAGACAGTTTACAGGCTGAAGAAAGCAGCAGGCTGAGGGGATTAAGTGGGAAAAGAACATGCGGTAGAGTTGCAGATGGAACAGAGAAAAGCACTGGGGGCGAGTTTGAAATGAAAAAGGAAAAACTGCAGGAGGGGTAAAAGAAAGGCAGTGGATAAGAAAAGAAGACGTGCAAGAGACACAAGTGTGAAAGAAAAGGAGGGAGGGGCAGGGCATAAAATCTGCTATTTTTGGGAAGCAGCAGGCAACGCACGCAGAGTGCCGGAGTCACCTTGACAGCTGATGCTATCTTAACATTCTGACTGCCGTTCTTTAAGAGCTACAATATATCCCCGGCTCGACACACCACCCACGCTCTATGTTTTTCATAAGCAATTTGCTGTGCTCAAAATCAATGCAACTGGAATCAGACTGCGGCAGATTTTCCATCTTGTGTGCCAGCCCGACCTATGGCGATATGATAAATGCTTTAAAAGGGGTCACTGGCATTTATCTACGTCTGTGTTAGTCCAAACCCCACAGAGGACATAGTGAATTTTAAGTGAATTCAGGCTGTGCAAGAGACACTCATGACATCTATACTTTTGTTCAGTTTTGAGACAATTTAGGGGCATTTGGAAATTCTGTGTTAAAGCGGCTGGCTGGAACATTTGCAGCTTAAAGTTTAGATGGCTTTATTATAGAAAAAAAACAAGCAACCAGTATGGTTCTCCATTATTTCATTTGATTACAATATTTGGCTTCTGTTATTAATTTACCTTACACACCAAAAATAAACTCAGTCAATAGTCAATAGCATGTTTTACCCATTGACTGTAGATTTACACTACAACATAATTTCGTGACTGGCTTGACCTGGCCTGGCTGACAACCTCTCCAGATATATAAATAAATATACAAAATAAAAATCATTCATAATTCATATTCATTCTATAATGTATTTTGTATTGGCAAACAGGATTTGAATTATTGATATTATTTAACTATACAGTCAATAGTCATGTACCTGCAGGCTAAATGTTATTTTAGGCCACTTCTCATTTGTTTTAAGTTGTGCAGTGTGCACCTTAGTAGAAGACTAGTTAATGTTCAAGCACCAGCCTTACCAAGTTAACAATGCAAATAAGTAAATCATTATGAGATTGTGATCCATTTAAACGCAAAACCTTGACTTATTCAGATGTTTCAGGGTAAATCCCAGGTCACTCCAGTCAGACACATGCTCCACAAGAATACGGAAGACTTCACAGTTGAAAGAACAGAATGTGCTGCACTGGTCTGAGTGGATAGGAAAGTTACTTCACTCTACAACACGTGTGGACAACTAATAAGTAATTACATGTATTAGCAAAGATTCATGCCGTGTGAACAGGTTACTTCTTCAATATCCGTTTTTCTTTTTAAAAAATATCAACAAATCCAAGTGAAAGAACTTCTCCGGGTGATTCAATCTGCAGAAGTGGGTTTGTTTATGTAATCGTGCACAAATCTACAGAAGTGCTGCGGACGCCCCAGTGATGCCAGTCGCACGCCCTTTGCCCAAAAGCTAACTACGCTAGCGAATGGATGTGTTATGAGTACTATATACAGTAGGATTTTAAGACGATGCAACTGTTTGTTAACAGAAGTTATTCGTGCAGTTCCAGTACAAAGTGACATTTAACGGTGGTGGATTTGCCAACAATCATCATGGGCATCTCCCTAGGGACAAACTTAGCTTTGTCAGAGGTACAGTTGATAGACTGATTAGCATAACAGGCTAGCTGTGCCAGCGCTGATACTAGCTGACGTTAGCCGTGGGGCTAGCAAACGTATGGCATCAATAATATCACTTTAAGTGTTGCACAGAGAAAACTACATAGCTTACCTCTCTTTCCAGTCACAGTATCATTTAAGTTGACAGTCTGAGCAACGATGCGCGGTGTGCTCACTGCAGTGGAACAATAGAGCGATATGGTAACAGTGCCCCGTCCGACCCCTTTCCAAGGATTTCTGATCAGAGGCGAATTATTTGCCTCTCTGCTTTGTCTGTCTGACAACAGCCATATTGACAACTTACACCTCTGTGGAGCTGCGAGGGAACTGTAGTTTTCCTCTATCAAAAGCCTCTACTAGGCGGCAAGGCGACGAGCTCCAAAAACTACAAGTCCCTGAGACGAAAGCGCAGGAGCACTTGGCATATGTACAGAAGTTCAACAAAAAACGCAGTTTCTCTTGTGGCCGCAGCTGGAGCAGTGCATGCACTCCACCTCTGGTAAGGGGATGGGGTGGCATCGTCACATATGATTCATTTTGGTTTATTGACAGTGACCTGTGTGTACAATGTACGTCTGCTGGTTGCAGTACACTAATGGTATTCAAGTAATGTGAGGCTTTATGATGAAAGGCATGAAACCATCTTTACGGCATTTATAGCCATTCATAGTCAATTGATGAATCTAATTCACTCTTATCAATAAAAACCAAATTGGTGAATGGTCTAGGCCATTTTCCATATTTTGTTTGCACACATTATTGTCATAAAACAAAGAACACACAGACAACCCAAGGGCTACAACAAAGTATGTAGATGTTGATAAGATAAGATAAACTTAAGTGATCTCACAATGGAGAAACGTACATTTGGGATAAGGACGTGCGAACATGTTAAAGATTAAAAAGAGTCTCTTTTGAGCACGATAAGATAAGATAAAGATCTACTTTAAGCAATTAATTAAGAGAGCTACTGTGCCAATGCAGGTGGCTTCATGCATGGGATTCAACCTGATTCTGGTTGACTTTACTCAGTGAAAACTGACACCCCCAGTGCAAGACTGAGCGCCATGCAGGGCCTTTATCCCCACCGCTGTCAGACTGAACAATAAGTCACTTTAAGTCACTAATGCACTAGGACTAAAAACCTGCACTACAATTGCCACTGTGACTTTATTGGCCTTTTTATTTTATTGTACATAATATATCCTGCACAGACTATATTTTTTGCCTCTGACATGTTTGCACACTCCTGTCTATTTCAGAATCTGTGTGATTCTATCTATGCCAAATGTGACATGTAAATTTCTCCTGTGTAAAGCCTTATCAATAAATCTTATCGGATATGTTTTATGTTTGTTATTTCATTCTTGCTCCTGCATTGTCTTGGCTATAGCTGCCCATTACTCTAGTGTCTCTACACAAGGGGACAATTTTTATTATTAAAATAATTTGTTCATCTTAATAAATGAAACTATCTACAATATAGATATCTGAATACACGAATAATAATAAGATAATATTATTATTATTCTTGTATTCAGGTTGTTACTTTAAAGTTATTTTTATTTTTCATTGTGAAATACTATGCAAGCTACTGCGACAACGCAGTTTCCCTTGTGGATCAGTAAACTCTGTCTATCTACAGTGGGGTGATCAATCTACACAAGAAGCAAAGGACAAATACAAATCTTATTATTAAGTTACTGAGAAACAATTCCTTGACATAAAACATTCTAACAGTAATATTAAAAAAATAAATAATGTAGATTTTATTATAATACTTTTTAAAAAGTATTTTAAAAGTTTTTAATCACAATCATTGTTAGAACTAGGAGAGAGCATATAATGCCAATTTCACAACTTTATGAACAACCCAATGGCCTTGCCTCAAAGCAAAGTTTTCAATCAATCAAATCCAATGTTTTCTCACACAATTTCACAGTGGGGGCAACACAATAATATACAGTACATAGAGGGTTGGATGAAGCAGGCGCTTACAAACAACATGTGTTTTCATACAATATTTAGATTCAGATTATTTTTTATTATTATTATTTGCAATAAAACCACATAGGAATACATTTGCCAAAGTCTCCAGTGTACACAAGTACATCAATAAAACAAGATTAAAACTACTAGAGTAAAACAAATGCAATTGACTCTGTGAAATCGGGGGCAACAGTGGCTCAGTTGGTAAACCTGCTAAAACACCAAGACCATGTCTTTGTTGACGGCGCAGCCATCTCCCTGTGGAGCCACCACATGCAGGAGAATCAGTGAGGGGCCCAGAAATAAAGGGGATGAAAATGAATGAATGAATGACTGTGAACACAAAGACAAGATTATAAAGTGCAATGTTTGAACTGATAACAGCTTGTTGAAAGAAGCTGTCAGCAAATCCAGATGTCATGCATCTCAACAAACAATATATTTTGCCAGAGGGAAGAAGCTGGAACATGGCTTTTCCAGGGTGGCCAGAAGTGTCATCAATTATTTCAATAGCACGGTTTAAGAGTCTGGATTCATAAAGAACAGGCAGCTCGCAGTCCTCTTTGCAGAGAGCAAAATAGGACATGGTCACTATAAGTGACTGTACACAGAGTTCAGAGCAAACAAGATTGCATCCTCAATGCTCCTATTCTGTCTCTAGGATCCATTTTAGACAAACCTAATGCAGTTAAACAAGCCATGTGGACCAATGATTTTGATTATAGTTAATTGGCTGGTACGTTTGGAGAAGAAAGGATTTATTACAATTCCAATAATGTAGTTAAAAAGAGCATTCTACAAAAGAATAATGACACTATTATAACACCACACTTTTAAACCCAGAAAAAAAATCATTTAGGCAAATTTCAATGGAAATAATTTTGAACGAGTACTGATACATAATTCATTAATCTTTATTGTTGTAATACTTTTTGTCAAAAGTATATCTAGATTTATGCCTTTATACTGCCTCCTTGTGGCAGTAGATAATAAAGCAGTCACACGGTATGAGAGAAATAATTGAACATTGAAAGAACAGTTTTATACATCTATTTCATGTATTACAATTATTTGTAAACGAACATAATATGAATTAGCAT